CCACTGAGCAACTGCTTCCCTAAGCATCACTGCCCAGAAGTTAAAGCAGAGCCCAGTAACCATGTAGGTCTTCTTCATGAGCTCTGAAAATACTGTTCTGTGTCATCTGCAGGTGGCCAAAGTCCTTTCATAACTTGGTACCACTTTATTGATCTGTTTTAGTTTTATGCATTAACCATGACTGTATTTGATATTTTCAAAGCAAAGCACACCTATATAAAGTTTGCAAAGCAAGTACAATAAAAAATTTAAGTTTTAGGTTCTAAGTGAGGTGTATATATTTTTAATCCAGCTCATTCACACAATTTATCTCATTAAAGGAAAATCTACTCCTCCTTTTTCTCATAAAGAAACCTGAAACACTCATTCTTTTTAACACCATATTGGTGAATTTCTACAGTTCTTAATAGTTGGCAGAATTCTCCAATTGTAAAGGGTTCTTTCCCCATTGTTCTCCATTTCTCTTTTACCCTATCTCTTCCACTCCCCCCATCCCATACGACTGCCAGAGGGAGAGCAAAGAGTGCACAGGGGTGGGGAAAGGGAGAGAGAGTGCATGAGGAATATCCATGTTCACGGGTTTACTCAATGTTATTTTGAGATTTGTACTAAACTGAGTGGGAAGTGCTGATGATAAGAGAATACCAGTACTAGCCTTAAACTCAAGCTGGTAGGAAAGACGGACGAAACATGGAAAAGTAACCAAAAAAGTGAAAAGGGGAGGAATAGAAGCCAAACACGGTAGAGAGCAGGGGAGAAGGGAGCGCTTGGCAGCCAAGCTCCCTGGGATTTACCGTTCCCCATTCACCAGCCCTGACCCACCCCATTCCACCGGGCTGTCAGTGCAGCACGCCAGGGGCAGGCAGATTTCTCGCGGGCTGTGCACAAGTATGATGGTGTGATTAGTGTGCCTTGGGCGCAGTTAACACATACCTCACAGTAGAACACATTTGTCTTTCTTAATTACACAAAACATAAAAGAAGTGTGAAAATCCCCAACCTCAATTCTCTCTCCCTTCCGATTCCCATCCTCCCAGAGGTAACCAGCCATTGTTAACCAGCTGGTAGCCTTATTCCGGAAACTTAAATATACCTCAGGCTCCCTAGCCCATGTCCCAGGATTTCTGCACTTTCTCAGGCTTATGTCTGGACTCTGGCTTCCTTCTCCAGTAGGATTCTGTCCCCTTAGCCTGCTGTCCCCTTCGCTGTCTTGTGGATGCCCTGCCTTTAGTCAAATCTTGTTGACACTCGTTGCAGTAATGTAAGTACATTGGTTGGCAGCTGGTAGAACTCAGATGGCATTCTATACAGCATCACAGAGAGGTTGATCTGATGGCTAGCAGTCAGTGTCTCCTTGTGCCAGGCACTGTCCTTGAGTGCGCCATATGTTTTCATTTATTTAATCCCTCAACAGCCAAGTGAGGTAGATAAGTATGTCGCAGAAAACTGAGGCACAGCAAGGTTATATAACTTGCCTAGGACCAGTTAGTAAAGGTAGAGCCAGAATTTAGCCCACTTGACTGATTGCAGTCTGTGTTCCTAGCCCTCGGATTCCATGGAGTCTAACAGGTTAGAATGAAGACTCACAAGTCCAAAGGTGATAGGCAGACCCATCCTTAATCTAGTGGGCACCATCTAATCAGCTGCCAGCACGGCTAGAAGATAAAGCAGGCAGAAAAACGTTGAATAGACTGGCCTAGTCTCCCAGCCTACATCTTTCTCCCGTGCTGGATGCTTCCTGCCCTTGAACATCGGACTCCACGTTCTTCAGTCTTAGAATTCAGACAGGTTCTCCTTGCTCCCTGGCTTTCAGACGGCCTATTGTGGGACCTTGTGATACTGAGTTAATACTTAATAAACTATCATCCATCCATCCATCCATCCATCCATCCATCCCTCCCTCCCTCCCTCCCTCCCTCCCTCCCTCCCTCCATCCATCCAATCTATCTTCTTTAGTTCTGTCCCTCTAGAGAACCCTAATACAGGTCCCAAAGGCTAAGAGACAAAAATTTGGGCTGGGTGCAGTGGCTCACACCTGTAATTTCAGCACTTTGGAAGGCTAAGGCAGGAAGATTGCTTGGACCCAGGAGTTCGAGACCAGGCTGGGCAACCAGTGAGGCCCCATCTTTACAAAAAAATTGAAAATTAGCTGGGTGTGGTGGTGCACGCCTGTGGTCCCAGCATCTTGGGAGACTGAGGTGAGAGGATGGCTTGAGCCCAGGAGGTTGAGGCTGGAGTAAGCCGTGACTGCACCACTGCACTCCTGCCTGGGCAACATAGTAAGATCCTGTCTCAGAAAAAACCTCCAAAATTTGCAAAGATTAGAGGTGGGATGGGAAAACTGAAATTGGAGGTTGTGATAAGTAGGGGGTGGGAGGATGGTGGTGGGATTGATATATGATGTGCGAGACTCCTCCAGGGCACCCAGAAACAGCAAGACAGCTTCTAGAATAAGTGTAGGAAGCTGGGGGTGGTGACTCACACCTGCAACCCCAGCACTTTGGGAGGCCAAGGTGGGTGGATTGTTTTAGGCCAGGAGTTCAAGACCAGCCTGGCCAACATAGCGAAATCCCATCTCTACTAAAAAAACAAACACACACACACACACACACACAAATTAGCCGGGCATGGTGATGCACGCCTGTAGTCCCAGCTACTTGGGAGGCTGAGGCACAAGAACCACTTGAACCCAGGAGGTGGAGGCTGCAGTGAGCCAAGATCGCACCAGCCTGGGCGACAGAGGGAGACTCTGTCTCAAATAAATAAATAAATAAATAAATAAATAAATAAATAAATAAGCATAGGAGAGGGTCAAATACTATTTCTTACTGTTATTGCAAATCTTTTGTCTCAGGTTGTATTTGCCTTAAAAAGACAAAACAAAAATGTAGGGAATTTACACATACTACTTTTCACTCGTAGAGCCCTTATTTTTTCTTTTCTCAACTCTGGCATAGAAGGATTTCTGTAAACTTCTGAATTTATAAAATTTCAGAATTAGCACTTTATAAAGTGTAAAGGCATTTTGGAAGATGGAGGCTGGGAAGAGTCTGGACAAGGGAAGGGGAGACTTGAGCCCAGGAGTGGATCAAGAGGAAGATGTGGATGGTGCTTCTGCAAGACATGGGAAGGCAGCACCCCAGGATCAGAGATGGTGGGCAGAGCAGGACCTTTTCCTCTCCTCCTTACCTGGGCTGACCACCTTCAGAGCTGGGGCAGAAGATGGGGCAGGATGTGGCTTCAGTGTGGAGGGCAGGAGAGGAGGGAGCGGCCCGGGTGGGCAAGGCTGTGAGGGAGGCTGCTGCGCTGCCCCATGGGGCCACAGTTAGGTCCAGCAAAAGGGGTAGAAGGGGTGCACCGCGCATGCCCTCTACTCATATGCCAGCTCTGAGCCTCTGGAAATCCACATTTGGTTCCTGTATCCTAACAGCATTTCTCACATGTCACTTATTTACAGCCTGTTATTCACTAGAAGGTGAGCTCAATTCTAGATGATGACCAGCGTTTCTTCAGTGTGCCCAGATGCTGGGAAAGTGGACTCAGAGAGGTTAGCTGAGTGACAAAAAACCTCCACAAGAAACTACATTTTTAACCCAAAGTGGGTTGCGCCTGCAAAGAAATTTTTAGAACACAAACCATTCCTAAGGACCATCTATTCCTTCCTTAATTAAAAGTATATCATTAAAAATACGTAGAGAAACAGTTTAGAAGAGTCTTTAGAGTCAGACAGACTGAAAATGCCTGTATTCATACGAACCTGGAAATGTCACTGACCCCTCGGAGCATCGGATGCATCTGTAGGATGAGGAATGTAGTACCCACCTTGCCGGGTTATTTTGAGAAAGAAATAAAAACATCCTTGCACACAGTAAGTACTCAAATGGAATGAAATAAAAGATAGTAAGGGCTCCTGTTTCAAATCCCGTCTGTAACATAGCATTTGATCCTTCCTACTCTAAAATAATTGACATTTATCATCAACATCCCACAGTGATGTGTCTCATGCCATCTCACTGCTGTGAAACCACAATAATCAGCTGAAAAGTCTAAGGAGAGTAGGTCCTGATCATTGTTTCATTACATATGAGCTTCGGGAAGGGCAGACAACCCAGATTTACAAAGAGTATATGGATTTTCACAAAAGGAGCAGATTTGTTCAGCTTTAGGTTTCAACCAATTTCATGAAAACAGACACAAGAGATGCAAACTGCTTTTGTGGATACCGTTTAGTGGTGGAAATGTGTTTAGGTGTGCAGGCTTTGGCGTCCCTGTTCTTGTGCAGATATTAGAGGGAGGGAGGGCATGGTCTTTGGTCCTTCTGGTTACTTGGTTTCTGGGACTCTGAGCTCAGTTTCTCCTCGGGAACACACTTCCTGCCCACTTGGTCTCCTTCTTAGGCTTCTCTTCTGCCCTGGAAGTGATGCCTGCAGGGCTCCTTCCTTCCTAATCCAGAGTTCCTCTCTCATCTCATCTCATCTCCTCTGAGGCCAGATCTTTTTCCTGGTCCCTATCATCCCTCTCTCTCAGATCCTGGGTCCAAAACTGAGCTCATCTTCCTCACGGAGGGTGCACTTAACACTCCCACCTTCACCAGCCAGCCAGGCCACCACACCACCCCTGGGTCTCCCTTGCCTTTCGTGTCTCACACAAGCTCCTTGAGGCCTGGGACTTGGCTTTGCTCACTCCTGCAGCCTTAGTGCTAAAACAGTGCCTACTGTACTGCAGGTGTTAGGAAATATTTGTGGGATGTGTGTTCATCACCAAGTACCTACATCCGTTTCTATGTTTCAGCCTCATCTTGCCAATTATACTTTTGTATTCTTCCCTCTCTTTGAGCAATCACTCATCCCCAGCAATACTGCTAATAAAATAAGACAATTACTTTTCACACTGAAGTCTTCAGAAAGAGTAAGGAGCAGACGCTGAACCCAGTTTTTCACATTCTTAAATAATTTCCCACGATTCAAGAAGCAGAAAAAGGGAACAGAAAGTCAGAATTAGATATAGAATTCCGATTCTTTTTCTTTCAAGGACGCATTTTATACAAGTTTCAACATTTATACTTTCAAACAAAATGAGCAAAAAATACACTGAGTGCTAAAAAAATCAAAACAGAAGTAATACAATTTTAATTTCAATATTTTAAAATACAGAAATTGGAAAGAATACTAAATACAACTTTAAACAAGTCACTTGTCCTCCCCTATAATAATCAATGTAAGCTACTTAAAGACTTACAAATTTAAAGTAAAACAGAAACAAAATAAATACTGTACACTTTCCCTGCCTGCAGGCAAAAGATGGGAAATACTGTTATGAATCAGCAAAGAAATGCTCTTCAAGCTTCAGCACCCCACCTCCCAGCCACACCCCATGCCATTGTCACACAGTGGGCTTCCGGACTGAAAGGACACACGTCACACACACTGACTGCCTATACAAACAGACGAGACACTATTCCGCAGACACCCCAAACAAGGAGAACAGTCCCCTCAGACCGTGGGCATAAAAATCAGTAAGAAAAGTCAGTCAGGCTAGCAAAACGTTCCTACAAAACTAGTAAATACCAGAGCCAACAACTGTCCCCTCTCCAAATTTCACAGATTTGAAACCCCTAAAACCAATACTACCCCTCCCCATCACCCCCCAAAAAACCTTGCTGAAGCACTGGCAAAGTTAGACATTTCACAGTAAATGTGAAAGTTCATATTATATAATCTCTTAAAATGAACCTTTTCACCCTCTTTCCACAGCATGAAACTGTTATGGCTTAATTTCTATTAAAAGTAGAAAAGTCTTTTCTGAAGGAAATCCCATCTGTGAAGATGCATTTCCTGATCAGTGCTATTTCATACCTAACAACTGTATGACTTGCTTTTGCAGTCAGAAGCTGTTTTTGGAAAAATTGAGGTTATAGCTTTTGATTCAGTCTAACTGTAAACTGTAAGGCCCTTAGTTTGGTTTAGGTTTCTTTTGCAAGATAAAATAACCTTGGGGTTCACTTAGCAAGTTACACCTCAGGTTCCTGACTATAATGTGGAAGTTATACATAGTTTTGTAAAAATAAATGGTTACTTATGAATCTTAGAAGGAAGAAATGATACTAGGTAAGGAATTAACTCCTCATTATATTTTACATTTAATGCTGGTAAGTTTTACCAACCAAAATACATCAAAGAAATATAAGAGTATGTCTGGGTTATTTTATGCCTGCAAAGTATTATATTTTTGAGCACTTATGATCACTGTTTTGGTGAAAAATCTTGGAGAAAACAGCTGACATTTTGAAAAGGAACTGGTCAAAATAAAACTGGCTGGAGACAAGTTTTACCTTTATAATTAAGCTCCATTTATGACTAGTTTCTGAAAGAAAGAGAAGTGAATTCAGAGTGTCACAGGTCTTGCATAGGTAAACTACTTGGAGGTCAAGGGCTACGTGGTAGCCAGGATTTATTAGTGAAATAGTGCAGAGCAGATAAACTTGGAAGAATCACTGAATATAGTTTCGAAAAGGTTTTAACAACAAAATGTAACGTTATACTTGTTAAGACAAAGTCTCAAGACACTAGAAGGGGCACCAGGGTGAGGGGGAGAATCTAAGGATATTGCAAAAGAGTATTATTTTCTCTCAATTAAAATGAGGGAAAAAATACTATAGAAGAATAAAATCACAGTCAGTCACAACAAGCTAATTGCTTTGGAAATAGACATTTGCTTCCTAATGACCTTAATTTTTAAAATTTATGCTAAGGGTATCAAATATTTGACTTTATAGCATGGAAAAGAGGGAAGGGCTTCTAGGAAGGCTACAGTATTAAGATTACATTACGTTCAACAGCAACAGAATGAGAAAATTAATTCTTCCCCTTTCTTTCCACCTGGTTTCAAGGAAGCACAGCAAATCATCCCATAGGGCAAGCCAAAAACCGGGGACTGTTTTAGGAAGCAAAGTGTCAGAGGCCCCAGATCCACTGTGTCTCCCCACGCAAATCACTGCCCACTCTGGGTTTCAACTGTGTCTCCTTTCTTTACCAGCGACACTCTGTCTAGGCTAAAGATCTGAGGCTCAAGCTCCCCAAGACTGCTTTAGAGGAAGGTCTAGGACACCAGGAAAAGACTGATGAGCTCTAGCTTCTCTCTGTATTAATATTTAATGAGAAAAATGAATTTTTGATAATTACGCCTAGCAGTAGCATACTGGGTCACATGATTATTCCAATCAACTCTACCTATAGTCTTACTGCTGCAGAGAGCATCTTTTGAAAAAGGCAGAAAGAATCTTGTCTGTTGCAGACGTCTGGTGGAGCCTCCTTTCCTACAGTAGCTTCTCTCTACCAAGCAAGCTGTTGTTACCCAACCCAGAGCAGCTGTCTTTGTGCATTCTCACCCTTCTAACCACCTCATTCGCCTGACAAGTTCCCTGGGGAGTTTCTAAGTCATTTTAATTCCATGACTTCCTTCACCTTTATATAGTACCTGAAGAGTATGCAGAATCTGTGGGGATGGTACTTTCCTAATTCTTCAAGAAAAACCTAAAGCCATCTTTCAGTTAAATCATCTTAACGTACTTGAGGATACACATTGTCACTCTCTTATCCATAAACAACCTCATTTTTCTTCCACTTCAAGCACGAATTCTGATTTTAATCCAGCACCTTGTTGGAGATTCCTCGGATTTTTAAAGTAGCATGCCTCTAGGCATATATTTGATATAAAATAAACACCATGAATAGTATTAGTTTTCATTTAAAAATATATATAAAGGTGCATTCGTTAATTACCAGTTTTAACTTAATGATAAGTTCTCTGTATGTATGAAGTGTTAATAGATTGTTTTTCTTAGTTGATTATCATAATAAACACTTTAATCCAAATTTACAAATGAGGAAACTAAGAGTCAGAAAGAGTAAGTGACTTATTCAAGGTTACAACACAGCTGATAACTAAGTGGCAGAACTTGGACAAAAGCCCAGGTCTTCTGCTTCCTTGCATGCTATACCAAGTCCCTGTATGACCATATTAATTACCAAGTTGAAGCATTTCTTAAATGTGAAATTACTTTCACTTCTACAGTGGCATATCTCAGTTGAAACTAAAAAAGCTAGGATTTTTTTTTTTTTTTTTTTTTTTTGAGACAGAGTCTCGCTCCGTTGCCCAGGCTGGAGTGCAATGGCACGATCTCGGCTCACTGCAACCTCTGCCTCCCAGGTTCAAGTGATTCTCCTGCCTCAGCCTCCCGAGTAGCTGGGATTACAGGCACCTGCCACCATGCCCAGCTAATTTTTGTATTTTTAGTAGACATGGGGTTTCACTATATTGGCCAGGCTGGTCTTGAACTCCTGACCTTGTGATCCGCCTGCCTCGGCCTCCCAAAGTGTTGGGATTACAGACATGAGCCACGGCGCCCAGCCCTCAGGATGTTTTTTAATGAACAGGGGTCCTCTTTTGCTCACATTTGCTTAGAAGTGAAAATAATACTGCTAATTTCCTGGAGAAGATACCTTCAAGGGCAGAGACCACAACTGCAACTTTATCTTCCCCCACAGTACTAGGTAGTGCTGGGCACACAGTAGATGTTTGATAAATACCTGTTGATCCCATATGAATAAATACAGTAGACTATATTGAAAAGGCAATAATTAGGATTATTTAAAAATAGAAAAGTATTCAAGCTAAGTAATTAGTGATAAAGATGGGCTTGTTTCCTCTGAGTTTATGAGTTCAGTCAGAATCTTTAATTCTGTATGCTTAAAAATGAACTGATACTTACGAAGTTCAACGTATTTCTAGGATACTGAACTACTACAAACTGCCAACTTTATATTGTTTACATCATTCATCAATATTGAAAAGCATAATATTATGTGACATTGTGAATTATAATCCAGTGGATCCCAGCTGAACAGTCACTTATTTGAAACAATACAGGAAAATTATCATCTATTACTATTATTAAAGTTGCATATGTTAAATCATGATTTTCAATTTTACATATTTGTATTTGCTTACGACTAGCTAAATGCTATCAATGCTGTCTTCCTAAGTTGCTGTGTCTGTATGGTATAAATGAGGTTCTCTATTACTGTTAATAAAGCCCAGGTACTGGCAGCAGTTACCACAAAGTTCAGTCATTTCCATGAGATAAAGGGATGCATCACGGCCAGTAATGTTATAAGAGGTTTGACTAGGAGTCACCAGATCAATGGCTGAATTTTCACCAATTCAGAAAAAGATACATGGATTCTATTCAAGTGCTTCTATTACCTTGCTGAAAGTTTTCTAACCTAGCCACACTTAAGGGGCTAAAACTACTAAAAATGAATCCACAGTACCTTCACTTTAGAATTCCACATACAGGCTACTCAAAATTAGTACTTCTCAGCCTAAGGACACAGTGGATACTGGCCACAATTTTAATTCATAAAAATAAATTAAATTTCATTTTAATTCATAAAAATAAATTTTCATTTTAATTTTTGTGGCTAAATAAACTGAAAATATTCAGAGTTGTGAAAAACATAAAGGAAAAAAGAAAACCCAGATCATAATATAACAGGAAAAGGAAATTATAGCTCTTATACCTCTTATTTCTTAACCTCAAATAAAAACATGACTATTGTAACACCAACTCAGGATCTACAGAAAACCAACACATCACAAGAATACACTGTGTGGGAAGGTAGGAGAATCAGTCAAACCCAGATATTTGACATCCTGAGATAAGATGACTCTACCCATCTTTCCACTGGTTTTGGCATAGTGTAGACAGGGTTTACACGGGTTGTTAATAGACACTGAGGATTTCCATAAAAATTATTTTTCCTGATACCCAGATAAGATTCAGACTTTGGTCCAGTCACTCTGAACCAGAAAGGCTACTTCATAAACTATTTCATATTTATCCCATGACATTTTGGAATGGGGACACTAAGAAGTATTTCTCTTTGAAAATACACATTTGAATGCAACCATGAAAGATGATGGTACAGACTTTTTTCTTCTTAGCAATTCAAGTGATACTTAATAGAGAAGGGTAAGTCCTGCTATCTTGCTGAGTAAAAAAAGACAATCCACAATACGGCCATACTTCTTCTCCATAAAAATAAATTTTATCTATTTGTCTATATTTTCTTTGTAGGAATTTGTAAAATGCTCTATTGTCAGACTTGGGAACATTTCTGCCTCATCCCCAGAAATCACTTATTTTTATGCCATTGAGGGAAAAAAGGGAAAATAGAAGCTACTAAAAGCAACTGAAAACTGGCATAGTAAAAATCATACATAAAGGAAATAAGTGATTACCTTAAAGTTTAACCAGATACTTAACCTCAATATGCACTGGTCAGGTTAGGATAGATAGAAGAAACTGCCAAAAGCACCTATTTTACTCCAAATCCATATCTTAAGTAATTCTTTGAAAATTAAGAAATAAAAAAAGTAAATACACACAAAAGAGCTATTCCAACATGCTTGCTTCTATACAACTTAATGTAGTATTAATCCTATTATATTACGGCTTATTATGCAGATTTGAATATCCTAAGTCAAATAACATTTTCCAACAAATCAGGTATGGAGAATAAAAGCATCATAAGATATAACCTCCGCAGCAGGTGTCAGTCCTGTTGTCCAACACCAGCAGTACGGAGAAGGCCTGTTGTAGTTACAAATGTATTTGGAAAAACTATAAACATGACAATTTAACCAAACTTATAATACTTTTCCCACAAGTAGGAAAAAGATATTAAAGCTGTTCTCTTTGGGACCCAGATATCATCAGCAGAAATGAAAATGCAAAAGCCTATTTTTTTTAATATTGAGAAGAAAATCACAATGTCAAACGAAATGAGAAATGAGGGATCTTTTATGGAGTTCTTACACATTGGCTAAGAAAGTATTTCCCTGCAAAGAGAAGAGTCTCACTGGGTCATCACAAAATGATAGGGAGTGCAGAGGGAAGGTGGGATATAAGGTAATCAACCTGGATAACAGTATGCACCTTGGATGTTAGCAAAAGCGAAGCTAATAGCTTATAAAAAACACATGAAATATATAAAATAAAATGATTTTCATATACATCTTAATTTAAAATAATTAATGCATCAAATCCCTGTTTAAGACTTTAACCTGAATATCAAATTTAAGAGTCCAGACTAGTTACTGTTACCGTGGCTCTTCCCCACATGTAACACACACACTATCAAAAATAATTTAAAAACCTTCACATTCTTACATCTAAATTAGTGAGATATTTCTCCAGAAATCTTCCAAATAAATAGCTTTAAAAAAAGAATTTAAAAGCTGTTAACTTTAAAAAAAAATCTGTTAAATAAATTATTGATAATTCTTTACCCTACCACTGAAAATACATCAAGACACTACCAACAACAAAATAAAATTCAAGCCCTGACAAGAGACCCTTTCCAGTTCGAGGTCTCTTTTTAAGGTTCTACCCTCCTTCCTCCTCTCCCCCACCAGGTCCAAAATGGTTATTGCTGAGTGGGTGTGGCACAGTGAAAATGCAGCATCGGGTTCATTCTGTTCTTCGGGCAGTGTTCTTACTATACACACAAACTGCTCCAGGCAAGGGGACAGCGGAAGCTCCAGGCTCCTGCACCCCTAGACTGGTCTCCAAAGGGAAGAATGGCTGCAACGGCAGCTCTGTCACACAAAGAAACGTGCATGGCCATTTCTGTTCAACTTAAGGATCTTCCCAAGACGTTGTTTGGCTGTTGCCATTCCTTTTTTTGGACGTTTACCTATAAAACACCAAAAGAAGTGTAAATAACAATGAAAAGCACACTTAAGAGAGCCCCTGGAAGACTACAGGGGGAGCTTTCTTTATGGGAAGCCAGCCCTCAGGTGTTCTGCATGGACAAAGTCGTACTTCTAGACTTCCGCTGTTTAAAACCCTTCCACCTCAGCACACTAGGCCCTCACAAGACTCCCAAGGCCTTCCCACCGTCTGGTCTACCTGCTCTTCAGCCTGGGTTCTTCCCTATCCTGCATTACACTATGCTTAGGCAACAAAACAGACTACCACTTCACAAATACCCCATATCCTGTTTCTCCCCTTTGTGCCCTGCCTCAGGCTCAATCCTCTGCCTTCAAAGCTGTCTATTTTGTCACTTTCCCCAATTCAGCCTGGCTAATCCCTGAGCATCTGATTTTAGGATGTCTTTTGCTCCTCAGAGCTGATTTGGGGATCCTTTTTCTTTGTTCCTGTAGTAGCTTGTGTATACTGGCATCACGATGCATGAGATGTTGAACAACTTGAGTGTAGAGACTACACCTCAACTGCCACGATGACCATCACATACAGTCAGAAATATACTTCCTCTATACGTGTGTGAAAGTTACCTTTTGTTGCTTGGTTGCTGATAGGTGGTGGATTTGATGCCGGTCTCTTGGTGGGGTGAAGGGGCACGGAGAAGGAAGTTTCACTAACTGGCCTTTCTGGGCTTAGACTGCCATTACTTAGCTGGCATGTTCCCGAAGTCAGGTTTGAATTCTGCATATACTTTCCATTCTGAAGGCTTGAGCCGCTGCTGTCCACATAATTCCTACTTTGTACCCTCTGACTAATTTCTGATGAACCTTCCTTTTTGATGCATTTCTGGCTTCTACTTAGATCCTGAAGGAGGAGGAAGGAAATGAGGCTGAATTTTTAGGGTTTAAATGAGGTATTTAAGCTCTCTATGCATTGGCAAAGTCAAGTAAGAGAAGAAACAAACTACTGAATTCTGATTTTCTTAACATCTATTAGCCACAGATGACCACTCCCGCATCATGTCATCTCAGTAGCTCTGAAGGACTCGGGTCTTGAAGTTGCATCGTAAGTTAAGGCGGCAAGAGAGAGAGTGAGAGAAAACAATGTAAACAGGCAACACGCCCTACTTGCTACTCCGCTCAGTGAGCACATGCCACACAGGGACCCTGAGCTGGGGGAACAGATCTCCCACTTCCTTGACACGTCACAGCTCCCTTGGACCTCTCATGTGCCATGTTCTTTTTTAGAATCTATCTTTTGTCAGGTTCATCTCCACTGTATTTTTTTGCTAGGAAATCCTTAGATCCAGAGTCCCAAGCTTGGTGTTTTCCTTTTACTACAACCACTCTTTCAGTCTCTTAAGACTATTGAGTAAACTTTCAGGGGGCAAAAAAACGCTACTGATTGGTGAGTCTTGAAATTAACTGATAGTGTCATAATCAGCATTAAAAAGAGAAAGGAACAGACTAGATGTGAACAGAGTACACTACAGTGTGAATGTTTCATGAAACCAGTTTTCATTATGCTAATCATCCGTCCTCTATGTTTTCATTTATTTTCAAAAACAATTATAAAAAGAACAGCCAGATTTAAATAATAGCTTACATTATGTAATGAATCCTATAGTGTTAATAAGTGATAAACTTTATGACCAGCTACAGTGAGGCACTATAAAATTATATACTGAAAAGTATAATGAGATTTCTTATGACCTTTGACTCTGGAATGTATACGTCTAGTCAAAGAACGTATACTCACAAAGCCTTCCTTTAAAAAAAAAAACAAAACTTGCCTCTTCTTCTTATAAAAGTAATTGCTGGCCGGGCGCGGTGGCTCAAGCCTGTAATCCCAGCACTTTGGGAGGCCGAGACGGGCGGATCACGAGGTCAGGAGATCGAGGCCATCCTGGCTAACACAGTGAAACCCCGTCTCTACTAAAAAATACAAAAAACTAGCCGGGTGAGGTGGCGGGCGCCTGTAGTCCCAGCTACTCGGGAGGCTGAGGCAGGAGAATGGCGTAGACCCAGGAGGCGGAGCTTGCAGTGAGCTGAGATCCGGCCACTGCACTCCAGCCTGGGCAACAGAGCGAGACTCCGTCTCCAAAAAAAAAAAAAAGTAATTGCTTAAATATTTAAAAAATATAGATAAGCCAAATTTAAAAAAATTAATAAAAACCACCCATAATTCCACTACTCAGAGATTCATGATGTTCCATATTTAGGGGTAGAGTCTTTTCTGTCTATATACACAGATATCTCCTCCTGCAGGGATTGTAGTCCATTCCTCCAGTCAACCCAGGGCTCTGGAAGATGGCAAAACCCAGGAGGCCCTTTTCACTTCTGCTGAGGTCTTTCAGTGCTATGTGAAAGCTTTATTCACAAGAGATTTCCCCTTCACTTCTTAAACAGTCGACTCAAGTTCCCCTGTCTCCTCTTCCCTCCTTCTCTTCTCACCCACAAATGTTTCTTCACTTAAAGGAGAACTAGAGGCAATATTTCTGCCTTTGCTGATATACTTTCTTTCTTACGTGTGCTTAGGGTAGAGGGGTTTGGGGCCCCACAGTGCCACATGAGAACTTTCTTCCTTTGGTTGCCGTTTTCCAGCGTTTGCAGCAAAAGGTTGTATCACTTTCCTTGTTCGGTGCTGCTGGTAAAGTTTTAGTTTTTTCAAAACTGCTACTTTGGGCTCATTTTGTTTGGCATAAGCATTAATATTCTGGGATCCTAAAACATCCAGGTTTTTCTCTTCTAGCAACAGTTCTTCATCTGGAATCAATGAATGGTCTGGGGCAAGAGGGGGTGGTAGTAGCACAAATGGTGAGTAATGTAAGCAAAAGTTGTGTTTATCATGGATGTTTTTGACAGAAAGATAATCTGTAACTTTCATCAAATGCTCAAAGAAATTTGGTATCCAAAACTGTTCAAGAAACAGATCAGAGATTAAAAAGATATGATATTCTTCTTTTCCTTGAATATTTCAATCTAACCGATATAACCTACAGGGCAAAGTTGGCAGCCAGTGGTTTAACTGCTTCCTTGAATAAATTATTTTTTTCCAGATGGCATTCTATCCATGAGCCTTATGTTAGTCATCATTTCGGCATCTCTCAAAATGGACAATTGTTCAAATGTGCATTTAACTGTAATTTTTTGGCTGCCTAGATCTAGCAGTTGATAACTGGTTGTTACAGTTTTAAAAAAGAAAGCAAAAACTACGTTAATGACCATTTAAAATCTCCTTTTAACGTTTCAAACTTTGAATATACCTGAGGATTAAATCTGGAAGTATCAAACTGTTTAATCCAGGAGGAAGTCCTCAAGTCTGGATCTTCAGTCTTGACATGGTATCCTAAAGAGAAGTTTTAGTTTAATTAACTTTGCACAAACTTGATATGAAATGACAAAATTAGCCTAATGCTTAAAAATGAAAGCAGGCTGGGTGCGGTGGCTCATGCCTGTAATCCCAACGCTCTGGGAGGCCGAGGCAGGTGAATCACTTGAGGTCAGGAGTTCAAGACCAGCCTGGCCAACATGGTGAAATCCCATCTCTATTAAAAATACAAAATTTAGTTGGGTGTGGTGGCAGACGACTGTAATCTCAGCTACTTGGGAGGCTGAGGCACAAGAATCACTTGAACTCAGGAGGTAGAGGTTGCAGTGAGCTGAAATCATGCCACTGCATTCCAGCCTAGGCAACAGAGTGAGATTCCATCTTGGGGGTGAAAAAAAAAAGCAAATTTATGTTGACATTTTATTTAAAAACACATTAACTCTTTAGATACTTATTTGCATACCTTTACCTTCACTATATGTCTTTCCCTCTCAAAAACAAAAAGTCACCAGCTCATAACCTATTATGCTAATTCTTTTGATTCTCTCAAAGACTGTCTTCATTTATTCATTCATTCGCTAGACAAGTGAAGCAGTGAGATGGAGAAGGAACAAATAAATCTATAATTGTTTGTGATCAATTAGTTATAAACACCACCACACTCAGACCAGCCTCAAAGACCGTCTTTATATGATGGGTTTTGGGCTACATGCTGGAAGATCTACAATCAATTTTTTTTTTTTTTTTTTTGAGACAGAGTTTCGCTCTTATTGCCCAGGCTGGAGCGCAATGGCGTGATCTCGGCTCACTGCAACCTCCACCTCCCAGGTTCAAGCAGTTCTCCTGCCTCAGCCTCCCAAGTAAGCTAGGATTACAGGCATGTGCCACCACACCCAGCTAATTCTTGTATGTTTAGTAGAGATGGGGTTTCTCCTTGTTGGTCAGGCTGGTCTTGAACTTCCAACCTCAGGTGATCCGCCCGTCTCAGCCTCCCAAAGTGCTGGGATTACAGGCATGAACTACTGCGCCCAGCGATATAGAATCAAATTCTATGGCCACCTATTGTATATGTAAAACCAATGCAATAATTCTCTCTAAAAATGGTACATTTTTCCACATAGAATAAAGGCAGGTATTTGCCTGAATTTTGCAGTATTTCCATGAAAGTGTTCAAAGGACTAAAGGAAGACAAAATGGTGCAGTAGAAAAACAGGCAAACCCAGATTTGAAATTGAGTTATTCCATTACCAACGCAACTTTAGGCAACTTTCTCTCCAAACTTCAATTTCCTCTTATACAATAAGCAAAGACTTTGAGATCAGATGGTCCTGGCTTCAAATTCCAATACCACTGAATAATAGCTATGCGAAGTACAGACAAGTTAAGTTAAATTAGTTTTACTAAGTCTTATTTCCTTTACCAGTAAAATGGGAGTAATTTTACCTACGAGTATTGTTTTAAGAATTAAGTGAAATAACCAGGCATGGTGGCTCACACCTGTAATCTCAGCACTTTGGAAAGCAGAGGCAGGAGGATCACCTGAGCTCAGGAGTTGGAGACCAGTCTGGGCAACATAGTTGAGACCCTGTCTCTACAAAATATCAAAAAATTAGCCAGGTGTGGTGACATATATCTGTAGTTCCAGCTGCTTGGGAGGCTGAGACAGGAAGACTGCTTGAGCCCTGGAGGTTGAGGTTACAGTGAGCCATATTTGTGCCACTGCATTCCAGCCTGGGCAACAGAGTGAGACAGTCTCAAAATAAATAAATAAATAAATAAATAAATAAATAAATAAATAAATAAATAAAAATTATTTCAGTGAAATGGATGTCAGGCTCCTCGGGTAGGATCAAACACAATTATTATATAAGCATTCAATTTTAATATAGTACTATTTTCTCCCCAGTTGTCCTCAGGCTTTTTGGGATACAAACATTTTCTTTAAAGGCACAAAGAAGAAAACACTATGTGGCATGCCTAACACTGCCACTGAGTCCATTCTCTTTTCCTAATACTTTCTTTTCAAGTAGGAGAAAGAATAGCCTCAATCAGAAAGAAACAGTTCAAAACTTGTTTTTCCTCTCATAAAAGGAAAAAGGGCTGATTGTTCAAGCTTAGTTGACCATTTAAGGCACCAAAACACTCCTTCCACTCTGATCAACCTGTCTGTAAAAGGGAAATAATACTAACTAGCTTGCAGTAACAATGGAAGAATGATGCTAGTGAACGCAATTGTCAATCCCAAGTAATTTACATTTTGAGGTCTTCTGCTTCCATCTTACATGATATGTCAGCATTGTGCTTTTTTTTTTGGTCAACCTTCTTAACACATTTCCAACTAAAGATGCTTATTCATAATCTCTAACCTAAATGAGGATTATTGAGCCATTAAGTTGGGCACCATATGTTACTTTTTAGAGACGGATATTTTATGTTTCTTACCACATTCCACTGGTTTATGATAGCGATACAACTGCCTAACCTCAGGGTTACTGCTATGGCAGCTGCTGGGATCCTGGAGAGAGTTTCTTTCACCACTGCAGTCTGTGCTTTGTATCTGCCTTTGTAAACAAGTGGAATAGTGCAACCCTGCCATAGACAGCATGCCCTGAATAGCTTCTTCCTCTGTGCTCGTCGAGGTAGGACATTCCCTAAAGAGGAGATGACACAAAAACGGAGTCTATTTTTTCTGATGACATTTTTGGTAAAATGTAAAACTAAAAAAAATTTTCATAGTATTTCTTACAATATAGTAAGACTTACTACTATCAGCAAGCCTACCTTTTAATTGGAATTTCACTTCTAGATGGCTTCTGGCTCTTTTGAAGGAAGTTCCTCATCACATTAGATTCCTCCTTAAAGTTGGATGTTATTTCTTGTTTCTTTTCATCACCTGAACTTTCAGACTCTTCAGTGGTAAAGTTATTTTTCTGAGATAGTAATTACACGAAACAAAGCTACATAAGAAATTGACCAAGTCTGTATAAATTAGTCCAAAAAGATTTTATACATCTAGGGAAAGTCAGAATCTTAATTATCATGGAATTATTTCTGTATTTCACATGGAAAAAAATGATAATCTCTATTAACTAGCTGAACATACTACCTTAAAAAAATACACAGTATAAGCTTCAAGGTAAAATAAAACATAATCCATGAGAAATATGAAACAAGGATAGTATAAGCAAAGGAGTCTCTCCCCCTACCCTTTCCAAAATCAGACAAAAGCTCTATGTCTCAAATGTGAACGGTCACATGATGGCGTGTGTGTACACTGACCACCACAGAAGACCCTGGGCTACATAAGTCAGAGAGACAAGCTTTGAGAAAAGCTGTCATTTGCCTTCCTTCCAGGAGAAGTTACGTGATGCTCATCTTTCCATCAAATAACGTACAAGCCACGGGGTCTCAGGCGTACCAGTGCAGTGCACTCGGGTCCAGAGTCTTCTGACTCAGAAATATCAGAATATCCGGATGATCTACTCCTGAGTTCTGATTTCACACGTGTAAAAAACCCTGAAAAAGAATGAAAAGATGAGAGAAAAATAGAAAGTCATTTGACTATGATGAACAAGGTGACAAAGTGATATTTAAAGTCCACCCAGCTTGTGATGTCTCTCAATCTCTTGCTCTACCTTCCTTTTTCACTTTTATTTTCTTTATTCTTTCTCCCCTTAAGGTCTTTCTCCATAATTGGCCAAGATACAGACTGAAGTATATTCTCAAATATTAAGTGTGGTATTTCCATAATTATATATTCCTTATTTGGATACATTGACTGTTTTATATTTCTTTCCAGAAGAAAAATGTTGAAACTAAAATTAGCTACTAGATGCGTTTCACACTTCTCCTTTTGCATTAGTTGTATCATTAGAAAACAAAAAGATAACTTTCCCAAACATAAAAAGCATTCATGGCAGGGCGCGGTGGCTCAAGCCTGTAATCCCAGCACTTTGGGAGGCCGAGACGGGCGGATCACAAGGTCAGGAGATCGAGACCATCCTGGCTAACACGGTGAAACCCCGTCTCTACCAAAAAAATACAAAAAACTAGCTGGGCGAGGTGGCGGGTGTCTGTAGTCCCAGCTACTCGGGAGGCTGAGGCAGGAGAATGGCGTAAACCCGGGAGGCGGAGCTTGCAGTGAGCTGAGATCCGGCCACTGCACTCCAGCCTGGGCGACAGCGTGAGACTCCATCTCAAAAAAAAAAAAGCATTCACGTAGATAGTGAATTCAACATGCTTATAAACTGGGCTTTCTCTTTCATGAGGCACTGACATAGAGCAATGGTTCGATGGATTCCTATTGATTAGCACCTGGCATGTGTGCAAAGGCAGAGTCACCAACTACAGCAGTGCCAATTTTACTCAAATTAGCAGGAACTGGGGTGTTCAACATGGATTAAATGTTAGTTATCTGAAACATTTATTTGTCAAGTACCAAAATATTCATTCGAACTACTTTTTAAAATAGAAAGGAATACAGAGATCCTGAAATATGTTGAGAAATTAAGGCTTAACTCAAAGAAGAAAGACCTTAAGGAGAAGGAGTGTTACTATTTTGCCATACTGATGATAACCAATTAATAACCCAGTAAAGACCTTCTTGTCAACAAGTAATCAATTAAAACCACAATACATGGATTACTAACAGCTTCAGATTAGCTAATCATATATACTTCCTAATTCTGAAAACCATATACATGGTACCTGAAGTTATATGTAAAATTAAATTAAACTTGAAACTTTTATTTTGGGGAGTAGAGGCCTATAATATGCATGAGCTTTCAAGCGACTCTTTAAAAACTGACTAGAGGAGTGCATCCCTAATCCACATACATCCCCCTCACTGAGAACACCATGCCTGGCCACTACACCTCACTGGGCATTCATGTTCAGCACTTCTCTGATGGGTGAACTACTCAGACATACTTCAGATTTTTCAAGACAGTTTTAGGGACACAAAACTTTTCTGCTATTATAAACTTAAGAACTTCAAAATTAGCAAGTTACTTTACATATTATATTAGTAATGAAAAGATCTTTAACCATTAAAACATACTGTTCAGTGGTTTTTGAGATTCTTCATTTTCTACTCCCTCTATTCTTGAACGCTCTTCTATCTTCATTTTTGCCTTTTTTGTCCTTCTTTTATCCTCTTCATTTTCACTATCTGCTGTATAAAGACTCTGATCTGCAAAGGGCTGTCTTTCATCTCTGTATCAAGAAGGAAATATAATCAAGTTAGAATATAGTGCAAGACTCTAGCCAAACAGTATTTATTCCCCCTCCCTTAATTTACAAAGAGTAGAGAATGGAAACATTGTCCCCATATTTCAATCAACTGTGCAATAGTATGTACTAGGGATCTGAGGTTTGTTTTTTGTTTGTTTTTTGAGACAGGGTCTTGCTCTGTTGCCCTGGCTGCAGTGTAGTGGTGCAATCATAGCTCACTGTAACTTTGAACTCCTGGGCTCGAGCGATCCTCTCACCTCAGTTTCTCAAGCAGCCAGGACTACAGGCATGGCCACCACACCCAGCTAATTTAGTTTTAGTTTTTTGTAGAGATGGAGTCTCGCTAAGTTGCCCAGGCTAGTTTCAAACTCCTAGTCGCAGAGATCTTCCCACCTCAGACTCCCAAATCAACTTGGAATTACGGGTGTGAGCCACTGAGCTCACTACAGATTAAACAGGGATCCCCAACCCCTGGGCCATAGACTGGTACCAGTCCATGGCTTGTGAGGAACTGGGCCGCACAGCAGGAGGATAGTTAGTGGGCCAGTGAGCATTACCACCTGAGCTCTGTCTCCTGTCAGATCAGTGGCAGCATTAGATTGTCACAGGAGCGTGAACCATATGTCCAAGGGTTACACACTCCTTATGAGAATCTAATGCCTGATGATCTGAGGTGGAATAGTTTAATCCCAAAACCATTCCCTGGCTGAGAAACAATTGTCTTCCACAAAACCGGTCCCTGGTGCCAAAAGGGTTGAGGATCACTGGGTTAAATGAACAAAGGAAACCCAATGAAAATTAATCTATTTGATACTCTGATTTACTTTACATACTTAATTATTCTTCCATTTGTCAGCAGTAATCGTAGATCATTATCTTTCGCTCTCCATTCAGGTACCGTGGAAGATGGTTGGAGATGTTTGTTGAATTTTCCATTCAGTTTAGAGCTCAAGATGTCCTGAAGATATAAAAGCAGAACTTACTTACCATCCACCTTCAGGTAGCCCTGCTTGACTGAAAGAATACAGTATACCACCACCTCCCCCATGGTTCTGCATCTCAAAGATACAGGCAGCCACCTGGGCTTGGGGATATGCAGCAGTATGGCACTCCAGAGATCCTAAAGCCAAAGCAAGAGTATGGCTCATCTTTCTGGAGGGCCATTAACCATGAAATGCATTCTAGAAAGTAAAACATAAAATATGCATAAAGTGAATTCAAAGAAATGTCATTCTTACAGAAAGCTGAAAAACTGGAGAAGTGCTGCCTCAGAGTATTTTAGCTCTCTTCCCCTTGCTTCTTCCTGCTAAAGTGCTAGCTACTGGGCCTTTCCATTCACCCATCCTTCATCTAATACCGAGTCAGCAACTTACAGGTCACCACGCTGCTACCACTACGAACAAGGGTCACCATGCGACATAAAGGTAGTAGCTGGTTTTTAATGTAGAAAAAAGACTTCCTTTTCATAGTGATTTTTCCCTTAATAATAAATAGAACCTTTCATAATAAGCTTAATCTTCTCTGATGATTACAGTTTAGAACAACATAATTTTAAAACAATATAATTACATACAATTTAAAATATTTAAGAAAGTTTTTTATATATGGGTTTTTTGTTTTTTTTTTTTTAAAAAGCCAGGATCTAGCTATGTTGGCCTTAAACTCCTGGGCTTAAATGATCCTCCTGACTTAGTCTCCTAAGTAGCTGGGACTACAGGCCCACACCACAGCACCTGGTTCTTCGATCTTACTCATTTAAAATGGTTGCTTATCCCCTACTTGGGATGTAAAAGTATGGATGATGCAGAGCTCACTAGAAAGTCACTACCATGTTCTGCAAAGGTGCTACACTGATCTCATTACTGCCTTCCACTTTCTCCTTTGTCCAGTAGGCCAGCACTTCACAAAGTTTAAGAGTTTCGTCTGACAGTCTCCCAGTCTAACAGTCCTCCAGGCTGACTGCTGGCTCAAGCAGAGGCTTTCAGCATTTGCTCTTCCTCTGCCTGTAATGTGATTCCTCCAACCACCGAGTGACCATTTGACTTCTTCCTATTTGTTATTCAGCTGTCGGTTCAAACCTGAGAGACTCTCTGACCACCTTAGCTAAGGCAGCCAGCTTTACCTCATCCCTCTTTATTCTGTTGTTCTATTGTTTTGGGTTTTTAAAGTAACACTTATCATCTGAAATTGTATTATTTTAGTATATGTCTCTGTCTCCCCATCCTTCCAGCTTGAACTAGGATGGAAGCTTCATGAGGGGCAGGGACTTAAGTTTTGCTCACAATGTTCTCCAGAGCCTAGAAGAGGAAGTGGTACTTGCTAAAGACTCAATAAACGTATCAGCAATCGAATGAGGTCTATTCATTCAAATTCTACACTAAAACCTAGAAAGATTTAGCACCGCTCCCTGTCACAGGCATAACTACTGGTTGATCTCTACAATGCTGCAGCCAAGATTAGATATCAACAACAGTCAGACTATATTCTCTTATTAAGCCTTTAAAGACTTTAAGGAACAGCCAAGTTTCTTTTTGTTGTCATGAAACATAATACTTGCCTCTTCCCATGGACACATCTCTAATCTTTTGAGGACCTCCCTTGTGTGGAGCTCTAGGATGTCTAGGTTAGAAGGAGTTCGGACATTATGATCTCGAAGTTTCCTCATCTTTCTTCGGGAATGGTATGGGGAAGTTGCTTCATTTGAGGATCGTGAAACTGGACACACAGTAGGAATTCCCTGAGATTTAACTGGTTTGCCGTTTTCCTCCTTTAAGAATTAAAATCAGAGTATTTTTATGAGAAGGCTACTACATACATACATGACTAACTAGTCATCCATAAAAATATTTTAGAAAACAAAAACCATTCAGTTTAACCATATAAACACAAAAAAGACTAAACCCTGAGATTCAAAAAGCTTTGCTGAGACCTTTATATCCCTTCTCTCCCCAACATAATATACGTGAACATATTTGATTTTTTTTTTTTTTTTTTTTTTGAGTCAGGGTCTCGCTCTTGTCACCCAGGCTGCAGTGTGTGAAGTGCAGTGGTGCAATCTTGTCTCACTGCAATCTCTGCCTCCTGGGCTCAAGCAATCCTCCTACCTTAGCCTCCCAAGTAGCTGGGACTACAGGCGCACACCACTGCACCAGGCTAATGTTTTAGAGACAGGGATTTGCCATGTTGCCCAGGCTGGTCTTGAACTCCTGAGCTCAGGGGATCCACCTGCCTCAGCTTCCCAAAGTGCTGGGATTACAGGTGTTAAATTAGCCACTGCAGTGGGCCTTGATTTTCAATATCTTATTAAAGGCTGTGTTGCATTCTACTGTATGGATATAGCTTAATTTTCTGACCTAATACTTACTGGTAGCCATTTAGGCTGCTGTTCTTTCCGACAACGAACATTCTTTTCACGTACATATTTGAATAAATTAATTACTTTTTAAAACAAAATGATACATCTATGTAGTTTTAAAAATCATTCTATAAGCATATCATGAAAAATAGCAGTCTCCTCTTCCCCATCCCTGACTCTCATTCTCCAGAGGCAACCACTTGCAAAATTTTTTACTGTGGTAACATAAACATAAAATCTGCCATTTTAACAATTTTTAAGTGTACAGTTTAGTGGCATTAAGTAGAGTCACAGTGTTGTGCAACCATCACTGCCATCCATCTCCAGAACCTTCTCATCTGCACAAACTGAAACTGTACCCAGTACACAATAATTTCCCATTCTCCCTTCCCACCAACCCCTAGCAACTATGATTCTACTTGCGTTCTCTATGAATTTGACACCTCTAGGAACCTCATATAAGTGGAATTTTATAAGATTTGTCCTTTGGTGACTGGCTTACTTCACTTAGTAAAATATCTTCAAGGTTCATCCACGCTGTAGCATGTGTCAGCATTCCCTTCGTTTTAATTTTTATTATACTTTAAGTTCTAGGGTACATGTGCACGACATGCAGGTTTGTTACATATGTATACACGTGCCATGTTGGTGTGCTGCACCCATTAACTCGTCATTTACATTAGGTATATCTCCTAAAGCTATCCCTCTCCTTTACCCCCACCCCACGACAGGTCAGTGTGTGATGTTCTCTACCCTGCGTCCAAGTGTTCCCATTGTTCAATTCCCACCTATGAGTGAGAACATGCGGTATTTGGTTTTCTGTCCTTGCGACAGTTTGCTCAGAATGATGGTTTCCAGCTTCATCCATGTCCCTACAAAGGACATGAACTCATCCTTTTTTATGGCTGCATAGTGTTTCATAGTGTGTATGTGCCACATTTTCTTAATCCAGTCTATCATTGACGGACATTTGGGTGGGTTCCAAGTCTTTGCTATTGTGAATAGTGCCACAATAAACATATGTGTGCATGTGTCTTTATAGCAGCATGATTTATAATCCTTTAGGTATACACCCAGTAATGGGATGGCTGGGTCAAATGGTATTTCTAGTTCTAGATCCTTAAGGAATCACCACACTGTCTTCCACAATGGTTGAACTAGTTTACAGTTCCACCAACAGTGTAAAAGTGTTCCTATTTCTCCACATCCTCTCCAGCACCTGCTGTTTCCTGACTTTTTAATGATCACCAGTCCAACTGGTGTGAGATGGTATCTCATTGTGGTTTTGATTTGCACTTCTCTGATGGCCAGTGATGATGAGCATTTTTTCATGTGTCTGTTTGCTGCATAAATGTCTTCTTTTGAGAAGTGTCTGTTCATATCCTTTGCCCACTTTTTGATGGGGCTGATTTTTTCTCGTCAATTTGTTTAAGTTCTTTGTAGATTCTGGATATTAGCCCTTTGTCAGATGGGTAGATTACAAAATTTTTCTCCCATTTTGTAGGTTGCCTGTTCCCTCTGATGGTAGTTTCTTTTGCTCTGCAGAAGCTCTTTAGTTTAATTAGATTCCATTTGTCAATTCTGGCTTTTGTTGCCATTGCTTATGGTGTTTTAGTCATGAAGTCCTAGCCCATGCCTATGCCTGAATGTAACTGCCTAGGTTTTCTTCTAGGGTTTTTATGGTTTTAGGTCTAACATTTAAGTCTTTAATCCATTTTGAATTAAATTTCACATAAGGTGTAAGGAAGAGATCCAGTTTCAGCTTTCTACATATGAGCCAATTTTCCTGAGCACCATTTATTAAATACGGAATCATTTCCCCATTTCTTGTTTCTGTCAGGTTTGTCAAAGATCAGATGGTTGTAGATGTGTGGTATTAATTCTGAGGGCTCTGTTCTGTTCCATTAGTCTACATCTCTGTTTTGGTAAAAAAAAAAAAAAAAAAAAAAAGTACCATTTTCATGATACTGATTCTTTCTATCCATGAGCATGGAATGTTCTTCCATTTGTTTGTGTTGTCTTTTATTTCGTTGAGCAGTGGTTTGTAGTTCTCCTTGAAGAGGTCCTTCACATTCCTTGTAAGTTGGATTCCTAGGTACTTTATTCTATTTGAAGCAACTGTGAATGGGAGTTCACTCATGATTTGGCTCTCTGTTTGTCTGTTATTGGTGTATAGGAATGCTTGTGATTTTTGCACATTGATTTTGTATCCTGAGACTTTGCTGAAGTTGCTTATCAGCTTAAGGAGATTTTGGGCTGAGACAATGGGGTTTTCTAAATCATGTCTCTGCAAAAAGGGACAATTTGACTTTCTCTTTTCCTAACTGAATACCCTTTCTTTCTTTCTCCTGCCTGATTGCCCTGACCAGAACTTCCAATACTATGTTGAATAGGAGTGGTGAGAGAGGGCATCCCTGTCTTGTGCCAGTTTTCAAAGGGAATGCTTCCAGTTTTTGCACATTCAGTACGATATTGGCTGTGGGTCAGTCATAAATAGCTCTTATTATTTTGAGATACGTTCCATCAATACCGAATTTACTGAGAGTTTTTAGCATGAAGGGCTGTTGAATTTTGTGAAAGGCCTTTTCTGCATCTATTGAGATAATCATGTGGTTTTTGTCTTTGGTTCTGTTTATATGATGGATTACATTTACTGATTTGCTTATGTTGAACAGCTTTGCATCCCAGGGAGGAAGCCAACTTGATCATGTTGGATAAGCTTTTTGATGTGCTGCTGGATTTGGTTTGCCAGTATTTTATTGAGGATTTTTGCATCCATGTTCATCAGGGATATTGGTCTAAAATTTTTTTTGTTGTGTCTCTGCCAGGCTTTGGTATCAGGATAATACTGGCCTCATAAAATTAGTTAGGGAGGATTCCCTCTTTTTCTATTGATTGGAATATTTTCAGAAGGAATGGTACCAGCTCCTCTTTGTACCTCTGGTAGAATTCGGCTGTGAATCCATCTGGTCCTGGACTTTTTTTGGTTGGTAGGTTATTAATTATTGCCTCAATTTCAGAGCCTGTTATTGGTCTATTCAGGGATTCAATTTCTTCCTGGTTTAGTCTTGGGAGGGTGTATGTGTCCAGGAATGTATCCATTTCTTCTAGATTTTCTAGTTTATTTGTGTAGAGGTGTTTATAGTATTCTATGATGGTAGTTTGTATTTCCATGGGATTGGTGGTGATATCCCTTTTATCATTTTTTATTGCCTCTCCGCTTTTCTTCTTTATTAGTCTTGCTAGCGGTCTATCAATTTTGTTGATCTTTTCAAACAACCAGTTCCTGGATTCATTGATTCTTTGAAGGGTTTTTTTGTGTCTCTATCTCCTTCAGTTCTGCTCTGATCTTAAGTTATTTCTTGCCTTCTGCTAGCTTTTGAATTTGTTTGCTCTTGCTTCTCTAGTTCTTTTAATTGTGATGTTAGGGTATCAATTTTAGATCTTTCCTGCTTTCTCTTGTGACCATTTAGTGCTATAAATTTCCCTCTACACACTGCTTTAAATGTGTCCCAGAGATTCTGGTATGTTGTGTCTTCGTTCTCATTGGTTTCAAAGAACATCTTTATTTCTGCCTTCATTTCATTATGTACCCAGTAGTCATTCAGGAGCAGGTTGTTCAGTTTCCATGTAGTTGTGCAGTTTTGAGTGAGTTTCTTAATCCTGAGTTCTAATCTCATTGCATTGTGGTCTGACAGACAGTTTGTTATAGCTTCTGTTCTTTTACATTTGCCGAGGAGTGCTTTACTTCCAACTATGTGGTCAATTTTGGAGTAAGTGTGATGTGGTGCTAAGAAGAACGTATATTCTGTTGATTTGGGGTGGAGAGTTCTGTAGATGTCTATTAGGTCTGCTTGGTGCAGAGCTGAGTTCAAGTCCTGGATATCTTTTTTAACTTTCTGTCTCGTTGATCTGTCTAATGTTGACAGTGGCGTGTTAAAGTCTCCCATTATTATTGTGTGGGAGTTGAAGTCTTTTTGTAGGTCTCTAAGGACTTGCTTTATGAATCTGGGTGCTCCTGTACTGGGTGCATATATATTTAGGATACTTAGTTCTTCTTGTTGAATTTATCCCTTTACCATTATGTAATGGCCTTCTTTGTCTCTTTTGATCTTTGTTGGTTCAAAGTCTGTTTTATCAGAGAGTAGGATTGCAACCCCTGCCTTTTTTTGTTTGTTTGTTTTCCATTTGCTTGGTAGATCTGCCTCCATCCCTTTATTTTGAGCCTATGTGTGTCTCTGCATGTGAGATGGGTCTCCTGAATACAGCACACTGATGGGTCTTGACTCTATCCAATTTGCCAGTCTATGTCTTTTAATTGGAGGATTTAGGACATTTACATTTAAGGTTAATATTGTTATGTGTGAATTTGATCCTGTCATTATGATGTCAGCTGGTTATTTTGCTCATTAGTTGATGCAGTTCCTTCCTAGCATCAATGGTCTTTACATTTTGGCATGTTTTTGCAGTGGCTGGTACTGGTTGTTCCTTTCCATGTTTAGTGCTTCCTGCAGGAACTCTTGTAGGGCAGGCCTGGTAGTGACAAAATCTCTCAGCATTTGCTTGTCTGTAAAGGATTTTATTTCTCCTTCACTTATGAAACTTAGTTTGGTTGGATATGAAATTCTGGGTTGAAAAATCTTTTCTTTAAGAATGTTGAATATTGGCTCCCACTCTCTTCTGGCTTATAGAGTTTCTGCCAAGAGATCCGCTATTAGTCTGATGGGCTTCCCTTTGCGGTTAATCTGACCTTTCTCTCTGGCTGCCCTTAACTTTTTTCCTTCATTTCAACTTTGGAGAATCTGACAATTATGGGTCTTGGAGTTGATCTTCTTGAGGAGTATCTTTGTGGCATTCTCTGTATTTCCTGAGTTTGAATGTTGGCCTGCCTTGCTAGGTTGGGGAACTTCTCCTGGATAATATCCTGAAAAGCATTTTCCAACTTGGTTCCATTCTCCCCTTCACTTTCAGGTACACCAATCAGACGTAGATTTGCTCTTTTCACATAGTCCCACATTTCTTGGAGGCTTTGTTCGTTCCTTTTTACTCTTTTTTCTCTAAACTTCTCTTCTCACTTCATTTCATTCATCTGATTTTCAATCACTGATACCCTTTCTTCCAGTTGATCGATTCGGCTCCTGAAACTTGTGCATGCGTCACACAGTTGTCGGGCCATGGTTTTCAGCTCCATCAGGTCATTTAACGTCTTCTCTATGCTGGTTATTCTAGTTAGCCATTCATCTAATCTTTTTTCAAGATTTTTAGCATCTTTGTGATGGGTTCGAACATCCTCCTTTAGCTTGGAGAAGTTTGTTATTACCGATCTTCTGAGGCCTACTTCTGTCAACTCGTCAAAAGTCATTCTTCGTCCAGCTTTGTTCCATTGCTAGCAAGGAGCTGCATTCCTTTGGAGGTGAAGAGGTGCTCTGATTTTTGGAATTTTCAGCTTTTCTGCTCTGTTTTCTCCCCATCTTTGTGGTTTTATCTACCCTTGGTCTTTCATGATGGTGACCTAGAGATGGGGTTTTGGTGTGGATGTCCTTCATGTTTGTTAGTTTTCCTTCTAACAGTCAGGACCCTCAGCTGCAGGTCTGTTGGAGTTTGCTGGATGTCCACTCCAGACCCTGTTTGCCTGGGTATCACAAACGGAGGCTGCAGAACAGCAAATATTGCAGAACAGCAAATGTTGCTGCCTGATCCTTCCTCTGGAAGCTTCATCTCAGAGAGGCACCCAGCTGTATGAGGTGTCAGTCACCCCCTACTGGGAGGTGTCTCCCAGTTAGGCTACTCCGGGGTCAGGGACCCACTTGAGGAGGCAGTCTGTCCATTCTCAGATCTCAAACTCCATGCTGGGAGAACCACTACTCTCTTCAAAGCTGTTGGACAGGGACGTTTAAGTCTGCAGAAGTTTCTGCTCCTTTTGTTCAGCTATCCCCTGCCCCCAGAGGTGGAGTCTACAGAGGCAGGCAGGCCTCCATGAGCTGTGGTGGGCTCCACCCAGTTTGAGCTTCCTGGCAGCTCTGTTTACCTAGTGAGTCTCAGCAATGGCAGACGCCCCTCCCCTAGCCTCGTTGCCGCCCTGCAGTTCAATCTCAGACTGCTGTGCTAGCGGTGAGCAAGACTCCGTGAGCGTGGGACCCTCCAAGCCAGGCACAGGATATAATGTCCTCATGTGCTGTTTGCTAAGACCATTGGAAAAGCGCAGTATTAGGGTGGGAGTGTCCTGATTTTCCAGGTACCATCTGTCATGGCTTCCTTTAGCTAGGAAAGGGAATTCCCCAACCTCTTGCACTTCCCAGGTGAGGCAATGCCCTGCCCTGCTTCAGTTCACGCTCCGTGGGCTGCACCCACTGTCCAACAAGCCCCAGTAAGAGGAACCCAGTACCTCCGTTGGAAATGCAGAAATCACCCATCTTCTGCGTCACTCACGCTGGGAACTATACACTGGAGCTGTTCCCATTTGGCCATCTTGGAACCCTCCCAGTCAGCATTTCCTTCTTTTATAAGGCTGAGTAGTATTCCACTGTGAGTATGTACCACACTTTATCTATTCACCTGCTGATGGACACCTGGGTTGCTTGGTCTACCTTCTGGCTACTGCAGATAATGCTGCTATCAACATTGATGCACAAATACCTGTTTGAGTCACTGCTATCAATTCTTCTAGGTATATAGCCAGGACTTCCAACTCTTCTAAATGGTTTTCCCTCCAGTTATTTGCCTCCAAATTATAAAATGACATGTTTATACTGTTTTCAGCTTCAGATATTACTGAATTCCTATCATGCAAGATGAAGTCTTAATCCTTACACATCTCTCTTAAACATGCACATACCTCCCTTTCCTTCAATATTCAGTAAATTGGACTCAGTAAAAATTATTAACTCAGTGACACATAACATATTGTCATTACATTCCCTTATTCAATCACTAATTGATTCCCAAATTATCCACTAGAAGAATACAAACATTCAAACACATTTGGTGATCTAATAATTTTATATTTTTCTCTGGAGACATCCTTCCTGGATAGGATTGCCAGATAAAGTATAAGACACCCAGCTAAACTTGAATTTCAGGTCATAACAAATATGGATCCTTTCATTCCCCTGATCCATCCTGGACTGGCTGCTCTCTGGGACAGTCTAATTATTCTTCCAAGTGTATTCTACCACTTTAAATTTGTAATACTAATTTAGAGTTGATTGACATTTTCAGAGATGACACTCCCATTTATTTAACTATTGTTTTACTTCTATAAGTAAAGATTTATAGTTTTTTTATATAGAATCACACCTTTCATTGTAAGTTTATTCTTCATTTTGGTTATCATGCATGATATTTATATATGTATAAACTTACATATATATTTAAGATCAGATATATGACTTTTGACACTAAACCAATTTAAATGTGATTACTATAACACTTTAAAAACAGAACATATTTTTCTCCTGTATCTGAACACAGAGAATTACATATTCTATCCATTGATATTAAACCAAGCATTTTAATATTTTGTAAATGTATACCTCTTTTCATTCTCCAAACACAGACCTAATATAAGCTGTTAAATCATCAGCTGGCCTCCATTCCTCCACCTAATTTCCTCTCAATTTAAGCTAGACACTAACAGAACAACCTTCTTGAAGAATTACTTTAAAACACCCTTTCTTAAACACCAAGAACAGCTCTTAATAAATTAAAATATCTAATCAGATTTTCTGAGCTTTTATTAAAGGGCATTTACCTAAGCATCTCCTTGCCCCACTCTACTGCTTAACATCCCTCTCTCCATCCCAGCTTCCCTAGCTTGACTCACTCACCTTACATTTCTTCTCTTGTTCTAATGATACAAACATGTATTCCTCTCTGGGTAGCTGAAATTAATTGGATCTAAAAGTTCTACTGTTTATACTCATATTTTTTATTTTTTTAAGTATCCTAAAGTAACCTGGTAACTGTTTCCTTATTACTTCATGAGAATACAATATTACAAATTTCTCTCAAGGACTTCAGTAGCCTGAAAACCTGAGATACCTCCAAATACTCAGCTCATTATATTTCTTCTAAGTGTGTAAGAGTTTTGAAATACTTGTAGAGTGGGGATAGATCCATTTGCTTCTCAAAGCAGATAATAACCAAGCATTTACATGACAGTTTCTACTCTTACCTCTATTGCTCGAATTACTTTAGAAAGTTCTTTAATAAGGTGTCCAGGTCTAACATTGTCTGGAATTTCAAAGGCATGTTCAGATACAAGCTGTATTTGGATTAATAAAAATAAGAAAACCAAAGTTATTTACACTTTAATATGTAAAAACAAATTTACTAAACCAATTTTTGGATTCTCTAGACTGTTACAGACATCACCAAATACTAATAAGCCAGGTTTCAGAGTTTGTGTAGCTGGTATAATGCCTTCTAAGGAGATTCTCATTAACATACAAAATCCTCTTAGACTATGTTGAAAACAGACTTGTCTCACAGTTAATTTTGCTTTATATTGAGTAGTAACCTTGTACTCTACTCCTCAAAGCCTACTGTAATTCTAACTACTACTACTAATTAGTAAAGTAACCAATTAAGCTTAACATTTAATTCATAATGCATAAGGATTTTTAAGGAGAACACAGACACTAAAGGAATCCTAGTTTCTCTTGGGAAGTCTAATTTGAATACATTTTTGTACTTTTTTTTCTTTTAATAGGCAAAAGCAAAATAGAAGAGATCCCATCAATAGGAAAGGGGAAGGCTGGGCACGGTGACTCACACCTGTAAACCCAGCACTTTGGGAGGTTGAGGCTGGCGGATCACCTGAGGTCAGGAGTTCCAGACCAGCCTGGCCAACATGGTGAAATCCCGTCTCTACTAAAAATATAAAAATTAGCCGGGTGTGGAATCCCAGCTACTCGGGAGGCTGAGATAGGAGAATCACTTGAACCCAGGAAGCAAAGGCTGCAGTGAGCAGAGACTGTGCCACTGCACTCTAGCCTGCACAAGAGTGAGACTCCGTCTCAAAAAAAAAAAAAAAAAAAAGCTCTAAAGGCAATTCTGATAAAGTGATAAAGTCACAAATTTGAGAATCACACATCTAAAGCCTTCAGTAGGATACAAATTATACCGTTTTGGCAACATATGCTTTATTTTATTTTTATCTTGTTAAACAGTTTTAAATTTGCTTATGGCTTTCCTTGTCACCTAGACAATAAGGTCTTTCACAGTGGAGGACATGATTTTTATTTTCCTGAATACTTCCACAGGGTTGTGCTCTGGTAGATATGAAGCAATGATAATACAGTGAAAAGGGAGTATAAAATTATTGAGACAGTAACCTATTAATTACTGTCTCCCAGTATTTCTTAAGAGCAAGATTTTTATTTCAAGGGGACAATCAAGAAATAAATACGGACACAGCCAGGTGCAGTGGCTCATGACTGTAATCCCAGCACTTTGGGAGGCCAAGGTGGGTGGATCACCTGAGGTCAGGAGCTCAAGACCAGCCTGGCCAACATGGCGAAATCTCATTTCTACTAAAAAATACAAAAATTAGCTGGGCGTGGTGGCACGCACCTGTAGTCCCAACTACTTAAGAGGCTGAGGCAGGAGAATCACTCGAACCCAGGAGGTGGAGGTTGCAGTGAGCCGAGATCGCACCACTGCACTCCAGCCTGGGCAACAGATTGAGACTCTGTTAAAAAAAAAAAAAAAAGAAAATATAGACATGTATTTTCATCAGCTCACATATGCATGTATCGTATTATGTGCAAAGTTCCACGGAGTTATAATAAAGATGAGAAAGACAGTCCCTGTTCAAGAGCTCACAGACCCAGTTGAAAGAAACACGAATATATTACTTTATAAACATTTGTTTTAAGCCCATAGGCACAAGAAATACAGCATGGATGCATAAGGGAAGGAAACACTAATTCTAAATGAAGATCTGGAGGTGGTGGGATTCAAATGCAAACAACTAGCTCATATTTTCATGAAAATGGAAAGCTCATGCTTGAAATTTGGACTCTCCTTTCCTTCACTTCTACATAAATCTAGCAGAGTGGTAAAGAGCATAGGCTTTGCAGTCCCAGAGATCTAAGTTTTAAGTCCTAACTTGACCAGTTCTCTTGGGCAAGTTACTTAACTCTGAACCCTGGCTTTCCCATATGTAGAATTGTGGTACCAATAGCACCTAGACCTCACACAGTTGGCTTTGAGGATTAAATGAGATTATGTTTATAAAGACAAAGCACAGTGCTCTCAGCACACTACAGCACAACTATAAGAGCTCAATGTTATTTATTATTATTCCATATCTATATGTTCATTTCTTAGTCAATTTCCTAAATATACTTTAATTAGTTTCTTTTCCAGATCAAAGATTAAAGAAATATCTAAATACTTTATTCTCATAACAGAAACCAGTACATTTGTATATACTGAATAATAAAATGGAGGTTGTATATAAAGCATGATTTCTATTCCCTCTACTACTGGCATTCACATGTGCTGTCAAAATAGCACAAGGACTCTGTTTTCCTAATCTTGCAACATAAAACACAGTGATTTCACTGTCGAAACAACTTACTTCTTTTTTCATCCATAATTTTAAAGCAGTATGCAGTGCTTTCACTCCCTGTACTAGGTAAGCTTGAGGCTGGAAACCATCTTCTCTCAGTTCTGTAGGAACGGGAATGGGGTGAGAAAAAAAAAGTTAAAATGTTCTCAAGTTAAAAGGATTAACTTCAGATTTTGAGTAACCACCAAATATAAAACTATCCAACTTCCAAATTAATAAAAAGATAAAAAAGTGAAATATGAAACGATCAATCCAAAAAGACAAGAAAGAAAAAGAAACAGAATTACATTAAGTGTAATTTACTAAATACTCCAGTAAAAAGAAAGACCATTTCACTGGATTTAATTGTTTTGTGTAGAGATGGGGTCTCAGTATTTTGCTCAGGCTGGTCTCAAACTCCTGGCTTCAAGCAGTCCTCGAGCCCTGGCCTTCCAAAGTGCTGGGATTATAGGTGTGAGCCGCTGTATCTGGCCAGATTTTTAAACAAGCTAAATATGCATACATACCATATTTAAAAATATAGAAAGGTTTAAAATAAAAGGATGGGGAAAAGATACCAAGAGTCCAAAAGAAAGGGGGTGTAACTGTCATTAATAAAGGGTTATTTCATAATGACCAAGGATTCAATTCACCAGAAAGACATATGTAACCACTTAGAATTTGTACTAAATAACACAATATGAAAATATAGAAAACAATAACTAGACAGAACTACATGGAGAAATAACTCCACAATCACAGCGGAAGATTTTCAAATATTTCTCTTGGTAAGAGATAAAGTGAACCAAAAACAAAAAAATCAGTAGGCATATATTCAATTTGAACAATATAAAGTTGATTCAATGGCCATGAATGGAATATCGTACCCAGCAACTGCAGAATACACATTCTTTTCAAACACACACAGAACACTTACAAAATTCAACCATATTCCAGGACCATAAACAAGTCTCATCAAAGTCCAAGATCTATAGGTAAGCTAAAGAAAGCCTCTATGTTTAGAAATTAAGAAATGCAGATAGTAAAAAATAGACCAACATTTGGATCAAAGAAAAACACTGGAAATCAGACAATATGTTGGTTAAATAACGAAAACATATCAAAATGTGTTGTATACTATACATACAGGGAAATGCACAGCTTTAAATATTTATGTTAGAAGGCTGAAAATTAATGAACTGAAGACCCACAAAAAAGTTTTAATACCAAAAAAAAAGGATAAAAATAATAAGCAAAAATTAACAAAACAGCAAACAGAGCCTCAAACAAGTTCTTTAAAAAAACCAACAAAATTAATATAAAGAGAAAACAGGCACGAATATCCAGTATGGAGAATAGAAACAATGTCATTACAAATGCCACAGATATTCAGTAGGTAAGAGGATAACATGAAGAACTTTATGCCAACAAATGTCAAATTTTAGATGTAATTTCTAGATACATTTTAAGAAAATAATTTATACAAATGAACTCAATAATTATCTGGTAAACCTTTATGGTCATTTAATCACTAAAGATATTGACTCAGCAGTCAAAAATCTTCCCACAAAGAAAACTATAGACCCAGATCATCAGTGAGTTCTATTAGTCATTCAAAAAAGAAATCTTTCCAATTGTACACAAACTTCTCCAGAGATCAGAAACAGAAGGAACAATCCCAACATTTTGTCTAAGGCTAGCATAACTTTTTTTTTTTTTGAGATGGAGTCTCGCTCTGTCGCCCAGGCTGGAGTGCAGTGGCGGGATCTCGGCTCACTGCAAGCTCCGCCTCCTAGGTTTACGCCATTCTCCTGCCTCAGCCTCCGGAGTAGCTGGGATTACAGGCGCCTGCCACCTCGCCCGGCTAATTTTTTGTATTTTTAGTAGAGATGGGGTTTCACCGTGTCTGCCAGGAGGGTCTCGATCTCCTGACCTCGTGATCCGCCCGTCTCGGCCTCCCAAAGTGCTGGGATTACAGGCCTGAGCCACCGCGCCCGGCCGGCTAGCATAACTTTTATACCAAAATCTAACAAGGACAGTCTGAGAAAACAAAGCACAAGCCAATTTCACTCATATGCCAAAATCAAACAAATGCACACACGCACACACCCATATGTAATACACAGTTACATATAGAATATATAAAATATAAGCATATAGATAGAATACAAACAATATACTAACCTAATGTATATAAAAATTATAGGTTGAGTTAATAATAGAAAATAAATTAATATAACCACTAAATTAAAAGGTTAAAGAAGAAAAATCATGGAGCTTTTCATATACGCAGGCAAAGCTTTTGATAAAAATTAAACTACTACTGATCATTTTTTAAAAGAAAGGAAAAAAACAACCTCTTAGCTAGCTTAGAATAGACAAGCATTTGATAAAGGTTATCAACAAAAAGCCTACAACAAAGGTAATAATGGCAAAAGATTGAAAGCTTTCCTTCTGAGACTGAGAACAAAGATAGAGCTGCCCACCTTTGCCATTTCTATTCACTATTTCCCTGGAGGTCCTAGACAACCCGGTAAAGCAATGAAAAAAAAAACAAAAGATATAAATATTAGAAAAGAAGGAACAAGACTGTCATTATTCAACGTGGATGTATATGACTGTGTATTAGAGAATCAAACAAAAGCCTCAGATAAATGATTAAAGAATAGATTTTAACAAGGTTGCTAAAACCAGTATAAAAAGTAACTGCTTCTATATTCCAGTATCACATGGTTAGTAAGTTGAACCATATGAAATTGCTAATATTTGACTATAGTTGAAGTAAAAAACAGAAATGTCATGTGAGTTCAACCATATGTATATATATAGTAATGACTGATATGGTTTAGATCTGCATCCCCACCCAAATCTCATGTTCAATTGTAATCCCCAAATGTTACAGGTGGGGCCTGGTGGGAGGTGATTTGATCATGGGGCTGGATCTTTCATGAATGGTTTTGCACCATCCTCTTGGTGTTGTTCTTGTGACAGTTGAGTTCTTGTGAGATCTGGTTGTTTTAAAGTGTGCAGCACCTCCCACTTCACCCTATCTTGCTCCTGTTCCCCCTTTGCCTTCCACCACGGTTGTGTCTCCTGAGGCCTCCCCAGAAGCTAAGCAGATGCCAGCATCGTGCTTCCTATAGAGCCTGAGGAACCCTGAGCCAATCAAACTTCTTTTCTTTATAAATTACCCAGTCTCAGGTATTTCTTTATAGCAATGCAAGAACAGACTAATACAATGATATGTGTTTTTATAATAGCACTAAAAAAAGAACTACTTTGGAATAAATCTAGCAAGAGATATCTATGCAAAATTTTTAGAAGAAAAAATAAGAAATGCCAAAAGACATTAAAGATCTAAATAAACAGAGATGTTCCATGTCATTTTTAGAAAACTCAGTATTTACTGACATCAAATTTTGCCCAAATTGATCTCTAGAGTTAACACCTTCAAAAGAAAAAAAACCTCCACGTTATTATTTACTTGTTTGGTTGCGTTTGGTAGGGTGGTATTGGCTTGTAATAGGGTAACTCAAAAATTTATATAAAAATGAAAGGGGAAAGAAAAACGAAGACATACTTGAAGAAGGAGGACCTACCAGATATCAAGTCTTACCAAAGGTTAATAAGAGTGTGTGCTTGGTGGAGAGACAGACTGCTAGCCCACTGGAACAGAAGGGTGGGTGAGTATGTGTGTTTATGTCCCAAGACCTACACAGGTATCAACACACGATACAGGAGACGAGCGGTGTTTATGAAGAACAGAAAAAGAATGGATTACTCAAAATATGGTGCTGGGACAAGTGGATATTTACACGAAAGCAAGTGAAAATATACTCCCACCATCCATTAAAAAAAAAAAAGAAAGAAAAAGAAAAAGATCAATTCCAAGTGAGTTAAAGGCCTAAATGCAAAACACAAGTAAAAGCTTTTAGAAAACAAGGATCTCTGCAAGACCTAGGGATAAGAAAGAACTACTTAAACAAGGCACAGAAAGCACTAACCATAAAAGTTGAAAAAATACTATTTTAAATTTAAGAAATTTTGTCCTTCAGTTAAAGAGAAAATCCAAAAGGCCTATACACATATGAAGAAAACTACCCGATTCCATTAATAATCAGGGAAATGCACATTAAAAGCACAAAGAATACTACTTTATATCCATGAGATTTGCAAAAATTATAACCTAACAATACCAAGTGTTGGCCAGAGCATAGAGCTTTGGGAACTTGTTTGCCCTGCCATGGAAATGGGAATTGGAAACAATTTGGCAGCAACTACTAAATTCTATCTATGACCTAGCAATTAGGCCTGTTTCCTGGAGTAATTCTTGCACTAGGTGACAAAGACAAGAACTTCTTAGCAGCATCTTCCATAATTGCCAAAAACCAAAAATAACTCCAAAACGTCAAACTTGCAGAATCAGTGTATGTGTATATATATATATAAAACATATATATATATATAACATATATATATATATATCTCTCTCTCTCTCTCTCACAGTATATTCATACAACAGAATACTCTAGCAATGAAAAAGAACTACAGGCACACACAAAAACATGGATGAATCTCACAAACAATGCTGAGTAAAAGGTTACAAGAGAATACCAGTATGAATTTATTCATAGGAAGTTTACAAATGCTGAAAATTAAATTATTTTAGTTTATAACATAGGTCTGGTAAAACTGAAGAAAAGGATTATCACAAAAGTCAGGATAATGGTTATCTCTAGAAGAGAAGCAAAAAGGTGTAATGAAAAAGGTAACAGAGCATTTCTAAGGTATTGGCAAGGCTGTTTTTGCTTAATTTGGGTAGTGGTTACCTGAGTAATAACAGCCTTATTCTTTACACAGTATGAACTTGTGTGTGATCTATATAATCGACTAGTTTAATAACAGAGTAAAGCAAATATAAATACACATAAACAAAAATGTTTTGAGTTTTTTAATCAAATTGTGATAATCTAAAACAAACAAAATATATTAGATGTGGTCCAAAATTCAGCTAAGTTGAAATGAAGGATTTTGCTTCTGCACAGTGGCTAATTTCCTTACACAAATCCAAACTGGTTCACTGTTTTACTATCACTGACATGAAACACAGTAAAGAGTTTCAGATGATTCAACCTCATTTAACCCACCATATAAGCCTTAGAACAGTCTGAGAGCTGGCAAACAATAGGCCATAATGTAAAGTAAAAAGGTTACGGATAAAAAAACAACATAATTTGGGGTCACAAGACCACTATTCCTGTTTCCAGGATGAAAACGATGGCAATTGCTATAATGATCATTTGGCTTTTGCCTTGATGAGACTGGATTGAATCACTGTGATTGCCAGGTATTCTATACTGATCTGGCTAATAAAATGAAACATCTTAAAACAACCTACAAATACCCTTTCCTAATAATCCTTTTTTAAAAAGTCTTTAATGTACAGAGTCATGCTTTCAATCAGACCTCAATGTTTCTGAACTTTTGATGGCCTAACACAAAGACTTAAACAGTTCTAAGACTAAGCAAATTGCTCCTGTGGCTTCACGAGCAATGGCAAAATTTTGTCTTTCAGATAAAGCTCTTAATTTGTTTTAAGAAGTTAAAGAATGAGCTTCTCTTAGACATTAGTGGAAAAAAAGACCACTGTGCATCACTCCAGGAGTACAGGGTGTGTGTGTGTGTGTGTGTGTGTGTTCGTGGATAGTTTCTCCTAGCTAACCACAAGACAGGAACTTGGAGTCTTAGGACAGGAAGAGAGAAAAGAGGGGAGAAAGTACCCTGAACCAAGTATAGAATTGCCAACCTCTTAACCAGAAGGTTCAATAATTGGGATTTATTTCCACAAAACGAGGAAACTTGTGTTTTTATGAGTATATAAAAGTGTTCCTGTCTGTCTAGGCTTGCACTTAAATAGGAGACTATAAACTCTATTGTCCAGTATTTTACTGAAAACTACGTATGACAACTGTACAGTCCACTGTGACATTCCTACAGCCAAGAAAAATAACTGAAAACACTGAATGCATCAGCGATTCATGATAAGGATTCATTTCTGGAGCAAAAACTGGTCTTGTGAAGAAAGGACCTGTCCCCTTCTCATGCATGGGATTCTACCCCCATCCCATAGACCAGAAGCGCTGCCAGGACATCTCTGCGCTATGCTGTGAGGTGGGGGGTTTAGGGTACCATTGTTATATGAGTTTTATCATTTTAGTTCTGTACATCCTATCTTGGGAAGTAAATTTTTGGTTATTTCTTTTCATTTTACCTTTTCTTCTTGTTTAACTTTAAAATGGAAAAAGAAGCAAATGTTCAGAATAAACTTTACTGTTTAATCCGTTTATGTCTATTCTGAGAGTTGTCAATTATAATAGTAGCACTATTTACAAACTGACTACAAAAGTTAGACAACACAAAAAGCAGACAAACTATTCTCACTAGCACAAGAGGATGAAAAGCAGGAAATAGAAGCAAGTGACATCAGTCTCCAACTTGAGTGCTCAAAGATTATAAACCAAAATATTAAAACATCAAAGTCTGAAATTCCACCTTTTAAAAAGTGAGTTCAAATATAAAGACAAGTTCAAAAAAGGTTTTTTTTCTTCAACTACAGAATCATGAACTTTTTTTTAAGGCGGGGGGAAGAGACAAAGTTTTGCTCTGTCACCATTGCATGATCTCGGCTCAATGCAACCTCTGCCTCCTGGGTTCAAGTAATTCTCCCTGCCTCAGCCTCCCAAGTAGCTGGCATTACAGGCATGCACCACCATGCCCGGCTAATTTTTGTATTTTTTTTAGTAGAGATGGGGTTTCACCATGTTGGCCAGGTTGGTCTTGAACTCCTGACCTCAGGTGATCCGCCTGCCTTGGCCTCCCAAAGTGCTGGGATTACTGAAGTGAACCATTGCGCCCAGCCTAGTTTGCTTTCTTAAAAGGAAATTTTGGGAACATATGTTAGGTAACAGTCTCTTGAAATAAACTGTATTTTTGAGAGTTAGGCACTGTTACATGCTTGATAATGTGTGCAGGCTTCTAGAGTACTAGATGGAATGAACATTTCTAATATTACCTACATTGTTCTGATCCAGGTCTTTTATAACAAATTTTTAAGAACATGGATTGTCAGGTTATGGACTAGAGACTCTAACTTGCTAAAAAGGTTCCTGGATGGGGGAAAACCATATATTTAAAAAACAAAATAGGAGTGACATCCATACTCTACTAGAAAAGGGACTCTTTCTGTAAGGTGGCTATGAGCAAACTGACAAACAATATGCATCATATCATATACAAATATGTAAATTATTAATTACCTTTCAGGGTTTCCAGCAAGTTTTTGGCTACGAACCAACATATGGCTTCAAAGAAAGGGAATTTGAAAAGATCTGGTGTTTTTAGCCTTTTCTCCATCTCGTAACACCTAAATGAATTTGAAGAAATATTTAATATTAATATTAGCATTTCAAAGTTAGATAAAAGTAACCAACTTGAAAATAAGCAGGTCATGATATATAAGACCAATGAAGTATTTTACATTTCTTAGCAACATCACATTTGGACAAGACTGAATTGTGATCTTATCCAGGTTCTGACTTTAAGGAATTTTACGGTATACTTAAGAATTGTAATGGACTTCACAGAAGATCAAGATCACACCTTTGGATGTGTATCCTAGTTTTAACAAAAGAGATTTTTACGAGGGTTCTACTACAAAAAATAAAACTGTGTGTTTCAGAAAACAGCTCCATGTATCCACAACAGTGCAATACTCACCCAAAAGTTTTATTTAGGCTCAACTAGGTATTCCAGCTCAAGACCACAGTTGGCACGAATTACACAGGAGCCATCCCTCCCTCAGGGACAGCTCAGGTACAAAAAGACAAGATCCACACTTGGTAGGTGTGGGAGCTGTTTAAAGCTGCTTAAAGCCTTATGCCCTGAAAGAGCCACTATCTCTTGTAATAACGCCACACACAGATGCATAGCTTCTAGGAATCTCTATGAGTGTGTCAAGTTACAAGAGTTACCACATTCAGGCAAGTCCAAAGACATGGCTCCCTACTAGGTATTTCTAGTTCTCCCAGTCCTGATGCAGTTTATCAATCAGGAATCATTTTTACCATAAGCAGTGTTACCTAGTAAAAGTCAACACTCATTAGACTATCAGGGGAAGAGAGTTATACAAAGGTCAAATTCTCATACAGAGGAGAAACAGCTATTAATCCTTTACCTACAGCAAAATTAAAGCAGGTGTTTCAATAGTAGTCCTAACTTAGGGTTGCTTTTTTCTAGTACCATATGTCACATCTCAGTCTGACTAGATTTTGTTCATCTCCCTCACTGCAAAAATAGCCAAGGGAGAACACATACATTTTCACAAAATTTTGAAATTTGGAGTATTATCTGAGTAAGTTCCTTTTTTGTTGTTGTTGTTTTAGATTTGAAATGCAAGTATCCCCCTGGCAAAATTTTAAAATACTACTTTTGTTAAAAGCTCTTATTATTATTAATATCTCAGGGACTATTTCCATGGAATCTCAAATAAAACATGCTATTGATTTTTTTTAAGTTAAAAAAAAAGAGTATCCTATTTTTAAAAAGGATAAAAGGTCATTTAAATGCTGACACAAACCTGAGCTGCATGCCAATGTTAAGGTTGTGTAGGAAGTTCCCCCCAAAAGCCATACAGTCCTGAGAAGTGAGCACAGCATGGATCCACCCTGAAATGGTTAAAAATATATAAAGCAGTCATTTTTCAAAATGTAAACCAAATAGGATATCTACCTGTGAAGTAACTCAAAATATCAGTATCAGTTTATTTCATATTTCAGTGCTAGAGAAGTTAATGTTTATTATAATACATAGATTTAATTAAATATTTATTAAATGCCTATTATATGGTAGGCTCTATGCTGAGTTTGAGAAATAAGGTGAAGGTTTTTGTAGTTCTTAGTGTATTTGCTTTTTTCCTTTTAAAAATAGAGATGGGGTCTCAGTTTGTTGCCCAGGCTAGTCTCAAATTCCTGGCCTCAAGTGATCCTCTCACCTTGGCCTCCCAAAGTGCTGAAATTAAGGCGTGAGCCACTGTGCCCAGCCTGTTTTTGTTTTTTAGTTTAAAAACACAACCCAACTTTATATTAAAGATTTTACTCTCAGACCAGCCAAATCTGGTTTGATTTAGAAAAGCACATTTTCCATTAGAGAACACACGAGGATTGGTGGGACACTCCATCGTCCTGGTGTCATCCTGAAATCAGTGCCCTGAAAGGACTAAGCAGAGGAGGATCAGGAGTCAACCTGAGACCTGACTCTGTAAGAAGGAAAAGGTAGATCACCCACATTTAATTATGAAGGGTTATGGTCCTACAAATATAGGAGTTGCCAAAAAATGATATTTTGTATTCCCATACAAATGCTTACAAAGTGAGAACCATTTCTAAGACATGACATCTAACTTTTGAAAAAAGTGTTGGCAGACTTAAAGACTTCACCAGAAATAAATATATACAAACATATTTGTATGCAAATTAGCTTTTAAAATACACAAATCCCATTTTCTTTATATTTTTCATCTTTTGACCCCTCACTGAACTGTAACACAAAACAAAAACCCTCAAAGGACTCACTTTCAAGTGTGCCCATTTCTGTGCTCAAAGGCACAAAGCCTTGAGCTTGACCTTGAAACCACAAATTAGAAGTCTGTGCCAACTCCAAATCCTACACATCAGTGGTTCTCAATAGTGGCAGTACTGCCTGTTCAGGATGTTTTGGAACGTTTAGGGGCTTTTCTGATTGTCTCAATGATCTGGGAGCACTACTGGCATTTTGTGAGTGGGAGCCAGGAGTGCAACATGTGAGACAGTTCCACACAAAATGAAATTGTCCTGCATCACTCGCGACTGTCAAATTTTCCTGCGCATTCATATAGGTACAAAGCCTGTCCTATTAACTATCTCAGCCTAGAAATTAGAACTCCATTATTATATATTATATATATCTGTATATACAGACATGCACACACAGTATTTTTTCACGGTTTTGGCACAATTTCCTGAAATACAAAAATTGTACTGTAGTTTGTTTGAAAGCTTGTCAGTTGCTGACTACCTTGGGAAAAAAAATCACTTTGCCTACAGCAGTGGTTCTCCAAATATGGTCCCCATACCAGCAGTACCTGAATCAGCCAAGAACTTGTTAGAAATGCACATTCTCAGGCCCACTCCAGCTCCACAGAATCTGAACCTTGGCCATGAGGTCCAGCAATCTGTGCTGTAACCAGTCCTCCAGGTGATTCTGATATTCCAGGAAGTATCAGTACCTACACCACTGCTACTGATAGAATTTGTGTTGCCACTAACACACACTTAGATTGATTTCCTTCCTTATGCAATTACCATTTCATTGTCTTCTCTAATGCTGCTGTGCCTAAACAGGCACATACTGAAATAGCATTTCATTATAAATCACCTTTTAATTTCTTTATATTCTAGTTAGGATATTAAATCAATAAAAAACATTATTCTATGAATGTCAATTTATGATTTTGAAGAAGGTACAACAAAATACTTAATATAAAAGCAAGAAGTAGGAAGATTTAAGGGAGGGGCATTCACAATGTGAATCAGTCCATTCACAATGAAAATACTGATACTTATCTAGGCAAATATTCTGGTAGTTCTAAGGCATGTCTTCATTTGTTCAACACACTATTATTATTATATACACCAGAGGCAAGGCTTTCAGCAGGGCCTGTGGAGACAGATCCCTGTGAACTCTACAGTCATTAGGGTCACCAAAACCAGCACACAATTCTCAAAACCACTGGTCTGGACAGTCTATACTCTACATTCATTTACATCTCAAAATGACAGACCTGATACCTATACCTGAGACTACAGCTAAGACTGATACTCAATCCTTTCTTTGAGGGTCTCTCAGGACACACCCTTCGCCTCCTAACTGTCCTAGGACAGCAGCCCAGATTCTTACAGGCTTGGTCTTTAACAGCAATGGAGAGCTAACCATAGTTAAGACTACCAAAATTAAAAACTTTCGTGCATCAAAGGACATTATCAACAAAGTGAGCAGATAACCCACAAAATGGGAGCAAATATTTGCAAATCATACATACTGATATGGGTCTAGTACACAGAATAAAGAATGCTTACAAACTCAACAATTAAAAAGGACAAATAACCCTATTTTAAAATGAGCAAAGGGTTTGAATAGACATTTCTCCAAAGAGAATATGCAAATGCCCAACAAGAAAAATGCTGAGCATCATTACTCATTATGGAAATGCAAATTCAAATCATGACACATCACACCACTAGAATAGAAGGCAATTACAGCACTGGTGAGGGTGTGGAGAAACTGGACTCCAAATACACGGCTGGTGGGAACGTAAAATGGTGCAGCTATTTGGAGAACAGGTCACCAATTCCTCAAGAAGTTAACTGTAGTTAAACCACGTAATGCAGCAATTCTACTACAAGCTATATTTACCCAAGAGAAATGAAAACATACCTCCACATAAAAAATTGTATACAAATGTTCAAAGCAGCACTATTCAAACAGCCAAAATGTGGAAACAACCCAATGTCCACCAACTGGTAAATGGATAAACAAAAGAGGGTAAAGCTGAGTACCCCTTATCCAAAATGCTTGGAACCAGAAGTACTGATTTTTTTTTGGATCTTGGAATATTTGCATTATATACTTACCAGCTGAGCATCCCTAATCTGAAAATCCAAAATCCAAAATGCCTCAGTAAGCATTTCCTCTTGAGGGTCATGCAGATGCTCAAAAGCTTTCAATTGTGGAGCAGTTCAGGTTTTAGACTTTTGGATTTGGAATGCTCAACCTGTATATCCCACAATGGAACATTACTGGGCCATGAAAAGATGAAGTAATGATACATGCTACAACATGGATGAGCCTAGAAGATAATAGGCTAAGTGAAAGAAGCTAGATGCAACAGCCCACATGTTGTATGATTCCATCTACATAAAGTATCCAAAGAGGCAAATCCACAGTGACAGAAAGTACATTCGTGGTTGCCAGGGGCTCAGGGGAGGTGGGAATGCAAAGTAACTGCTAAAGAGTACGGGGTTCCTTTTTGAGACAAGGAAAATGTTCTAGAATTAGTAGTTGGCTTTTAATTAGAACCTCTGGCTTTAACATGTTTGGAAAGTAGTTTTTATGACATTTGTTTGCCCAACTTTATTAATCTACTAAAAACCGCTGAGTTGTAAACTTTAAAAGGGTGAATATTATGGTATGTGAATTTTTTCTCAGTAAAAATAAAAATGAAGGCAAATGATATAAATACAATGCCAAAAGAAGTCCTAACTAGAAGAGAAAACCTCTAAGGAACAAAACCTAAAAAGTCCAAGATCAGAATTATTTCTTAACAAATGTCTCCTGACCTCGTGACCCGCCCGTCTCGGCCTCCCAAAGTGCTGGGATTACAGGCTTGAGGGAGGCGGAGCTTGCAGTGAGCTGAGATCCGGCCACTGCACTCCAGCCTGGGCGACAGAGCGAGACTCCGTCTCAAAAAAAAAAAAAAAAATGTCATAAAAACTACTTTCCAAACATGTTAAAGCCAGAGGTTCTAATTAGAAGCCAACTCTATGTGACTGAGTATCAACGATGGTGAGTAGGGGATGGGATGAAAACCTTACCTGTAGGAACAAATAAGGTATGTCCCTGCTTTACGACACATTTGTAGCATTTATCCACCTTATCTCCAAAGAACACCTCACTCTGGGTCACAGATGAACTCCAAGATTCATAACGTGCCAAATTTTCATCTGCTGGCTTTATTAAATAAAAAATCTTCTCACCCTAAAAGGAAGTATCATACTATTTTTGAAAAAGGAAAAGCCACACTTAGGCTAGCCTACATTGATGCAATTTCCCAATACAAGGATACAAATTAAATTAAATAATTATCAGATTTTTTTTAGGTTCAAAAGACGTATTTCACACACCTGATCAGTAGCTATTGCCCTTAGTAAACATTTTCATGTTTAAAGCTCCCCCTCCTCGACTGACAAGGAGTCAATAAAGTAGTGTTGAAGAAATAGCTGCAAGACAGGAAGGCAGAGAAGCACAAACATCCCACTGACCTCCTCTCATTGTCAAGTAGAGAAGTAAATATGTGTTGACAGGCCCACAGTCATCTCTGCAAGCTTTGCCCTTTCTACTAAGATCCATAGCATAATGATTATTTTTAAAAATCTATAAATAAACTTCCTTTAATAAACTAATTCTTTGCTTCTTCACGAAAAAAAAAAAAAAAAAAAAAAAAAGGAACCCAAGGACCCAGCATCAAATATAGCCCAGAACATTGCTGAGGCACAAGCATTTGATATAGATGAAGACTGAGTTTCTACATCAGTACTCTGCAATAGAACTTTCTGTGATGATGGAAATGTTTTGTATCTGTGCTAACCAATACAGTAGTCATTAGCCACATGTGGCTACTGAGCACTTGAAATGTGCCTAGTATAAACAAGGAACTGAATTTTTAATTACATTCCATTTTAATCATTTAAATTTAGTCACACATGGCTAGTGCTAACTGTTTTGAACAATGCAGCTCTAGATAAAGCAAGGTGAATATAAATTGAAAAGAATTGGTTTTTTGTTTGTTCGGTTTTTTGAGATAGAGTCTCATTCTGTTGCCCAGGCTGGAGTGCAGTGGTGCAATCACAGCGCACTGCGGCCTCAACTTCCTGGGCTCAAGTGATCCTCCTGCCTTAGCCTCTTGAGTAGCTGTGACTACAGGGATGAGCCATCATGCCTGGCTCCTTTTTTTATTTTTATTTTTAGAGACAGGGTCTCACTATGTTGCTCAGGCTGGTCTTGAACTCTTGGGCTCAAATAATTTTCCCGGGTTGGCCTGCTCTCAAAGTGCTGGGATTATGGGTGTAAGCCACCACACCCAGCCAAGAACTGGTATTTTTATGGCATTCCTGACTTATCCAACAAGCTATCCTAGCCCAACATTAAGGCCAGAAGCAATTATTACTGTAATTTTGCTCCTTCATAGATGTTTAATTCAGGGATTAAAGGATAATTAACTAGGGGGAAAAGAATCAAAAAGAGACAAAAGCCTAAAAGAAACCAACTTAAAAGATGAGGGCAGAAAGTAAATCTAATATAAATTTAGAAGTCAAGGCTCTTCCATTATTTGAGATTTTTTTTAAAAATCGTACGTTTAAAGGCAAAGTGAGAGTTCCTGGTTAAAAAGTAAAAACAAAAACAAACAAAAAAAACCACTTCCCCTTTTACAAGTAACATTTATAAGAAATGAGTATACCACTGAAAAACTAGGGCTATCTGTTTGTCAGTGAGAGAACAAAAAATACCCCAATCTTACCCAGAGGACATGGTACCAGACTGAAGTTCCACCGAAGTCAATGTGGAAATCTGTATAGCTGTCTTGAACTCCCATTAAGCAATATTTCTGAACAAACGGCTTGGGAAAGACTGAATCATCTGGCCAATAATTTTCTACCCAGGAAAGTTTTTTGGCTATATCAGGGACCTCCACCAATTCAGACATCCTTTTAAAAAAGAAACACACACACATACCCACATCATGCAAATTAAAAATTCTTAAAAACTGCTTCTCCCATCTATTCCCAAACCAAATAATTAAATGGAACTTTAGGTTAACAACAACACTTAAAAGTTTAAAATACATGTTTTTTGTTTTTGAGACTCAGTCTTGCTCTGTTGCCTAGGCTGGAGTGCGGTGGCGTGATCTCGGCTCACTGCAAACTCTGTCCTGCCAGGTTCAAGAGATTCTCGTGCCTCAGCCTCTCTGAGTAGCTGGGATTACAGGCATGTGCCATCACACCCAGTTGATTTTTGTATTTTTAGTAGAGAAGGGGTTACACCATGTTGGCCAGGCTGGTTTTGAACTCCTGGCATCAAGCAATCCACCCACCTTGGTCTCCCAAAACGCTGGGATTACAGGCATAAGCCACCGTGCCCAGCCACAAATTTAAAATACATCTTATTTCTAAACATCTCTGAGCGTCCCAATGCAAAATTTATAACACTGCTACCACTGGACAACTTTAGAAGTCACAACTATGTTTCTTCCTAAAATAAATACATCATTAAACTACATTTAGCTAACACTCAGAATGCTAAACCAAAATGCCGAGAACTACTCACTTTGTATCTGAAAATTCAAGGCTGATCACATTTAACACTTTTGGTCTGTTAGGATTCATGAAGTATTTAACATAATTGTGAAGTGTCATCTTGCTGTCTGCCTGTCTCGCCACATCAATGACATCTATCACTTTGTCACCACCTGCAGAGAAAAATTACAGTCTTCTTATTGGACTTTTAAGAGTTACATCAGCAGATGCCCTAATCAAAAAATATCTTAACTTAGTATGATATTTAAACCAAGTATAAAACTATGTAGTCTAGACAAAGATTTTCCCTATACTCTTAATTTCCCAAGTTCAATTGGACCTTTCAGGAAAAAAGGGACAATTTTTCAGAGGAAAAGGAAAGCAGTGAGACAGAGTTGCATAATTTACACCAAACATAAAAATGTATACGGCTTATAAAGCTTTCTGTATAGCAATGATATCTTGGTGTACAGCTCATAATGACAAAAAATACATTACATTGGCATGTAGAAATTGTGCAACATTTTCTGGATTTCAGTTTTCTCAGGCATAAAGTGGGGAGATTGACTTTTCCCTTTCACTTTTGTAACACTTAAAATATTCTAAGGCTATTATTTCAAAAAAAACACATGACTCATTGGGGAATTAGCATGCAAGTTGACCAGGGTATTTTCTGCCCTCCTGGTATTGTCTTCTAATATTCTCCTTCAAGAAAAAATTAGTGATTGGGAAGCAAAAATCAGTTCACATTAGTACCAGTGTCCGAAGGCCTGAGTTCCAAATTGTGATTAATTTATAGTTTTCGTATAAATCCATGAGGTAATGTTTACAGACCACTGCACTGCTACACTAGGAGGCACAAATAGTTTGACAATGGACTATGGGATAAGGTAGAATTCAAAATATGGTAATACTTAACCAATTTGAAATAAAAAAGCAAATAAATGCCATTTTCTTACTTTAATGCAACTTCATATAGGTTTAGAAAGTCTTGCCTTATAGACTTCTTTATCTTCAGGAAGTAACACAGTTCTGTTCATAGTATTTAACTGAAGTGCTCTGCAGTACCAAAAAGTTAGCTATCAAGCAGTTTGAGCATTTTTTTCCTGCACATGTATTACACTAGCTATTTGTTTTACAGTTGTTATCTATGCAAATAGGTTCAGGTTAATCCTTAGCCCCATCCTCGTACTTGTCAAACACTCAAATTTAGCTGAATGTGAAGTTACAATATTTAGATAGATTTCCTCAGTGAAACAATAATCTATGAGAATTATTAACCAATGGCTCAATAAAGGGACAAGTTCTTAGATATTCCATGCTGAGGAGATAATGTAGTAAATATACAATTTTGAGTCAGAATAGATTTGGGATCTAATCTACTGCTGACAAGGAGTAACATCTACATATAGTCAGCTTTATCTATAAATATGATGAGAATGAATGAAATGACTGAAAATGTCAACAACGTGGCAAGGAGTAAAGGGTTTCCCCCTTTATTTCTCATGTCTTTCTGTTTCTTTGGGAAATTTTCAAAATCACAAATTAAGTCCAGACATCATTAAATGGCAATATTCACCAAGTCATTACTATAAAAACAGGATTGAAAATGATCTGCTCTTTTTACCACCTTTCCTCGAAGCAACAGCAGGTCACAAAGCAGACTATAGAGGACTAACTGTGCAGCTGGTATATTGGGATCTGGGAATTTTGCACCTGTATTCTACAGATGCCTACAATCAATCAAATTTTCCAGTATCTTCTTCCTGGTATCTATATCTATCCCTCAGTAATGATTTTCCCTAAGCAAGTATCAGAAAACTTAATGGCACAAAAGAAAGCAGCAGGATGAGGCTGAGTAAATAGGAACAAGCAAAATGTGTCATTCTGTTTTTCTGGCAGCTGTAGGTCTGCTGAGAAAAATTAGTTTTCCATATAGATGATACTGAGTCTCATTTTTCTGAGCAGAAAACTAAACTAAATTGACATTTCTTCATTTAACCTTTAATATTACCAGGACTATCATTTTTACTTTCACCACGTTTTCCCAGGTACTTAAAGAAATAAAGTTCGTACCTACATAACGTTCCACATCCATCACAGAAAATGTAGGTGGAGGGAGCCTGAGTCCTAGATCATCTAATTTAGGGACCATAATAGGGACATCAAATCCATGTTTCTCCAGATATCTTTGTGTCAGCTGGCTGCCATGCATCTTTACAATTATTTCATCGGCACTAAGGAAAAACATAAGAATAAAAATGTCATTTTTATTGGTAAGTTCAGTTTAAAAAAAATACTGTGGTGATGGGTTAATTCATATACTGGATTATCTATATCACTGGATCTTAACCTATCATATCTCATTCTTCTTTTAATGACAAATGTTTTATAAATCTCCCTTTGCTATCCTAAACTAAAATTTATAATGTAATATACATAATTCAATTCATATAATTAGAAATATATATAAAGTGCTCTAAATGCAAAAAGAAAAACCCAACCTAGTTTATAGTAAAATATGTACGAGTATCCCTAATCCAAAAATACAAACTCTAAAATGTTCCAAAATCCAAAATGTTTTGAGTGTTGATATGATGCTCAAAGGAAGTGCTTATTGGAGCATTTCAGATTTTCAGATTAGGGATGCTCAGTTGCTAAGTATAATGCAAATGTTCCAAAATCAAAAAAAAAAAAAAAGAGTCTGAAATCATTTCTGAAACACTTCTGTTCCTTAGCTTTTTGGATAAGGAATACTCAACCTGTATTTCAGTATGTAAACTACACTAGAAGACATAATAAAATAATAGGATGCTTACAACTAGTTGTAATGAATGGTTAGATTTAAGTTAAGTAGAAACACCAGAAGCCACTTGATACAGGCTGTGTAGAAATTTGGGAGAACAAAAGGTAGAGTGTGCATTAGAATAAAAACTAGTCAGGCCAGACGCGGTGGCTCACGTCTGTAATTTCCAGCACTTTGGGAGGCTGAGGTGAGTGGATCACCTAAGATCAGGAGTTCGAGACCAGCCTGACCAACATGGTGAAACCTCGTCTCTACTAAAAATACAAAAATTAGCTGGGTGTGGTGGTGGGCATCTGTAATCCCAGCTACTTGAGAGGCTGAGGCAGAAGAATCGCTTGAACCTGGGAGACGGAGATTGCGCCACTGCACTCCAGCCTGTGTGACAAGAGCAAAACTCCATCTCAAAAATAAATAAATACATAAATAAATAAAAACAAAAACTAGTCAGATTTTATCTGACTATAAAATTCTATACAACTATCTAAAGTCTAATGGAACACAGAACAATTAATTCTTATTCTGCATACTGGAAGATGACTAGCATCCCTGGTCCCTGCCCACTGAGACAAGTGTCCAAAACGCTCCCATTGAAAACTACCGATTTAAATGATCCGTTATAACCAGTATTTAGTAAGTCTTTTTTTTGAGATGGAGTCTCGCTCTGTTGCCCAGGCTGGAGTGCGGTGGCACGATCTCAGCTCATTGCAAGCTCCGCCTCCTGGGTTCAGGACATTCTCCTGCCTCAGCCTCCCGAGTAGCTGGGACTACAGGTGCCTGCCACCACGACCAGCTAATTTTTTGTATTTTTAGTAGAGATGGGTTTCACTGTGTTAGCCAGGATGGTCTTCATCTTCTGACCTTGTGATCCGCCCACCTTGGCCTCCCAAAGTACTGGGAATACAGGTGTGAGCCACCGCACTGGGCCTAGTAAGTCTTAATACCAGGTAGTAACTTTAAGCCAAGAATGGTTGGATCTCCAGTTGCCCTCTCTGATGACCAACAGATTACAGGCATTACATTAACATAAGTGTAGTTTGTCCCTTTGCCCACCAGATCTCTTCCAATGGGGCATTCCAGTTTTTACCTCCCAATTGCTCGCAGGATATAGCTGCTATACATTCAAAACTAAGTGTGACACTTGCCTTAAAGGTTAAAACACAATAGTCTCCACTTCTACAATCAGATCTTAACTATCTGATGTCACCTGCTGCCTAGGTGGCAAGAAGACAGGAGAAAAAGCAGATGCTGGTTCTCCGAATTACTGGGCTCCCATCTTCCAATCCTCTCCATAAGGCAACGGCAAGTCTGAGGCCTAAGAAAACTAAGAGTCCTCTCCTAGATATTCTTGTTGTTCTTCACTTGACTCATCTACTGAACTGGAGCTCTGTATTACCTCTCAGTTTCCCCAATAAGCATCCACAACTGTCCCTCCTTCCCCCAACCTCTGAGGATTAAATAATTCCTTCAACTTCAATCTAAAGAAGAATTTTAAATCACTTGTATTCCCTGATCTCAAATGTTTGGTGTTTTACTTCCTCTTTTGATCAAACATATATAATGACAAGTGTTTAAAATATAGGTACATTTTTTGCAAGAGGAAAATCCGGAGACAAACTAAACATATATCATATGGGGATGGTTAAGCAAATTATGGTACCTATAGATTACTGCATACTACACAGCATTTAGGAAGTGAGGTAAATCTATGCATAGGTATGGAAGGATATCTGAAATATAAGAGTAAAAAAGGCAAATTGTACAACACTATGCATAACATAATCCCATTTTAAGAACATTATATATATCCATACATCCATATACACAAATGTTTTAATGTTTTTATGTAGAAAAGGGTCTCAAAAAACTTACACTAAGTCTTAAAATAGGGGAGGGGAAAGATAACTCATTCACTTTATACGCTTCTGTGTTAATCATATTGAGTATGTGTAATTTAACAATTATTGCTATTCTACTATGGTTTGAAATGATATAAAGCTTTATGGCATTAAAACCCAAAGATCCCGAACTAATGGTAATTACATTTCGGACATTTGTGATCATCTCTATAACCTGTTCTCATTTGTGGTCACTGGCAGTAAAGTCACATAAATTATTAGGCCAGTGTTTCTAACACTACATTTTTGTGTCAGAAACCTATTTGGAAAAAAAAGAAAGCTATAGCTCCTCTCCCTGAGAAATGGACACTCCCAACTGACACTAAATTATACATACCATTCATTTTAGGGAGCTCACAAACCTCTCGCAGGCCCACCAACAGAACCAGACTGAAAACTTTGGGCCTAGGTGCCAAACCAATCAAGCATGAGCCAATAAAAAAGAAAACATGCGAACATTTCTCCTACAACTTGGAAACTGATAAAAAAGAATATTTGAGAATAGGGTATTTAACACCACAAAAATCATGTGGAAACACTACATTTTAAATATGTGTTCTTTCTGTCTCTCAACAGACCTGAATGATAAGCCAATGATGCTTATCATTATGTTTCTGTGTAAGGATTAAGGGGCAGGGGGCTAGAGAGGAATTCTAAAGACTAAGGAGAAATAGCAGGGGTTTTATCATTTCAGGATCTGAAATAATTCCATAATAAGCTGCATGTGATACTGTGATTTAAATTTAAATTGTGCTTCCCCTCTTTAACAAGCCTGGCTATGATCTTGTGTAAAAGTCTATTAAGCATTATCACTTGAAATAGATGTCAGGCAGTGAGTAGGAAATGATCCAAATTAGCATGATTAAATGCTTTATAATGCTTTCGACTCTCTTTGAGCCAGACAACTCAAATATATTCCATTATTTTTTTAAAAATCAAAAAGCCCACTCCTGCAGTGGTTGTGTGTGCTTCTGGTGGACCTAGGGCAAAGATGCATATAAAAGCAATGGAGAAAAAGCAGAGTTGGGAAAACAGGAGAAGGTGAGGCAAAAGAAAAAAAAACAGGCAGCAGCTGCATATCATAAGGAACCAAGTACTGGGAACAACTCCCTCAGGTTAGCGTATTTCAAACTTTTTGGACTGTGGCCCACACCTAAATGTTTTTATAGGGTGACCCAGTGTGCATATACATGTAACAAAAGTTCCAAGAAAATATGCTTACTTACTTCCACCTATTACTTGGAATGTACTGATACTTTTCCATTTCATTAAGGAAGTAAAAAGGTGAAAAGGTGGCTGAGGACAATAATGGGTTGCAGCCTAAGTTTGAAAACATTGCCTTTACGTAAATACCACTCTATGAGACGACATTCTTACATTCTTACGTTTTCTTTTATCAGAGTAAGTTTCCATACCTTGGGAAGACTCGAGAGCGTAATTCCTTAATGAAAGTTCTAGTTCCAGCTTGCACTGGTTTGGAACCATCATCAATTTCTGTGTAGTCATGCCTGTGCCAGTTCCTCCTCTTTTTCACTGGATTTTTAAAAGATTTAAAAAAAATGATTTTGGTAACTGGTGATACTATATGCTTTCTAATCATTATATCCAACATAATCAGAAATAACAATTGTAAATACATTAAAAACATTCGAGTTTTTTTTGTTTTTAAGACCACACACGTTTATATATATTTGGATTAAGAAAATGAATCACAAGCCATATAAAATTGAGATAAATTGGAAAACTCTAAGGTAAGTACCATGTCTATTCCCAGCTGCCTAAAACAAAAGATCCATTAAAAATCCATGGCGTGAATTTCCACCATGGGTCGGAAGGATGGAAGACAAAGGTTTTCCTGCAACTTTCCCAACCACCTCCCACCAGTGCAGCGAGTGCTCCCATGGTTGAGAATCAAATACAGGTGTGTTTCTAAACACTGGAACAAAGCGGTCTTGCTGCCACATGAGTGGAGCCCGGAGCTCGGATTCTGAAATCCAAACCCAGGCCTGCCATCACCAGGCTGCGTGGAGAATGAAGACAGGGAGCCAGGCAGATGGTCTCTCCATGCATCCATCTTAACATGCAGCCATGGGAAGGAAACTGGGATGGGAGTTGTGTCCCTCCCCAAAACTCATTTCTTTGGTTGCCTGATGTCAACTCCTGCCTTAGACATCCCATCCCCAACTCTTTCTCCTTCGTTTTTATCCCTTCATGTTACACCCAGTGAATGCTGCTTCATTGTCTTAAAACCGAAACAGAAATGGGGAGGTAGGTAGCACGGATGGGGAGTGCATGAACTCTACAGGATGAGGGTGCTCTGCACTAGCTCCTCTAAAACCTGAGTCCTCTGTTCACTCTGCACACACATCACAGAGGGCTGCCGGCCGGCGGCCAAGGCATTTGGTGAGGGCCCCATCTCGTGGACCCTCCAGATGCCCCTTCATCCTCTCTGAGCTTGAACACCGGGGCTTGAAAGGTGGCCAAAGAGCTGGCGAGGACACAAATATGGAGCATTCAAACTCCTAGGAAAGATCACAATTTTGCTCCCACGCCCAGGGGACTAGGAGTGGGGTGAAAGAGCCCATCGTAATAGAGCGAATGTGGATCCTTATCCCCAGAGGTAGAATCATTTTACCCAGTACCAGAAACACCAGCTTCCAGTTCTTGTTTTTACAGTAACTCCTGATAGCAGACCTTGCCCCCTCCCACTTCCAGTACCCTCCGCCCCTTGCAAAGGGGCCACAAAGTGCATGCACGGCTAACCGTGTGGATGCTGCCCACAGCCATGGCCACTCACCCCTCGCTCGTGTGCACAGCCTCCCCACATATATACACAGGTACATGTAACGCATGGTGGCCAGAGAGACATTTACACTGTGAGTGTGAGGCCCGGCTTAGGCCTGCATCCTTGGGCAGGGTCTGCCCCTTGGTCCCAGGGTCCTAAGGCTGCTCTGCAACCAGCCCCAAGCCTTAGTGTTTTATCCTGAGGATGGAGGGGTTGAAAACACTCAAGTTTTTAATGCATTTCCAGGCCTGAGAATTTTGCTTAATGTAATGCTGCAATTAGAGACAATTAACTGTGGATTTTTAAAACCTACTCTTTTTATTTCAAAATATTTAAAATTAAAGCAAGGAATTCAAATCAGCAGATGGAGCCTTTTATAATGTCCACACTTACAGATACTATACAATTTCCAAATTATATACAATTATGATTTTCATCAGAACATTAGGTCCTAATGATTATCCAGATAATCCAAATCATCTTCTCAGGACAGGGCCTTCATCTCACATAAGAAATCTATTCTAATAGCATCATTCCTCCCTCTTTCATGTGAAGACTTATCCCCAAATAAGCACAGTTATACTGACATAAAAAAAAGCAGGTGACTGAGTCATAATTAAAGAAAGACGGGTAGGATGACAAAATAAATAACTTCATTCATTCCAATGCTAAGACCCTGTAATTCTACAGCTCTGGAAGGCTATGACCTTGAGTAGTCACAGCAATCGAAATCAGAAGACTTGGATTTGATTCCTAGTTCAGCCAATAGCTTTCTCTGCAACCTTGGGCAGGTCACTTAACACCGCTGGATCCAGATTCCTCAATGTAGGAATTAAGCGGTGGATTAAACTGCTAATTTTCAAACTGTGTGGAAGAACCCTTCACAAAGGGGCGATGGAGAAAAAGCCAAGGGTTAATCTCTGGACCTCATTCCTCTTTCCAGCAGACTGGCACTACCTACAGCTCTTGTGCGTTCTATCAATGTACAATTTCAGTTTTAATTTTTTTTTTAAGCTTGAAAATTACTCTTAAGCCTAAAACCTCTATGAGTCTGGAAAATGTACTGACGTCTGCAATTTATTTAGAAATGCATCCAAAAAAGTAAGATGGGTAGACAGAACAGTTACATGGATAGACATGTGGTAAAGCATATAATGAAAATGTTAATAACAGTAGAATCTAGATGATAAGGCTTATAGGTGCTTGCTGTAAAATTCATCCAATTTTTCCTATATGTTTGAACATTTTCGTAACAATAATGTTTTGGGGAAAACAACTTTATGATTCCAAGTTATTTTAAACCTTTCCTGCCTTACAAAGATCATAGTAATACAAAAACATTGGGTCCTCACGTGAATAAGAAGTCACAATAATTAATAAAGGTGGAAATCAGGCTTATTCCTATCTAAGAGTCTAAAACAAGATTCCCAAGTAACTTATGGCAGCCAAATCTTCAATATGGAAGAGGTCAAGTTCCACTAAAAAAACCCAAAAAAACCAAAAAACTCACAAGAAAAATTTAGAATCACAAAGCAAACTTCCTAGGAAATTCCATTGAGGCATCCTTTGCATGTTATTTTTTCTCATTTAAAATCACTCCTAAAATTTGAGTGTGTTTAATTCCAGATTTTTTTCAGTTATATATAGATACACAACTCCATTTCTTTTTTTTGAGATGGAGTCTTACCCTGTTGCCAGGCTGGAGGACAATGGCACGATCTCGGCTCATAGAAACCTCTGCCTCCCAGGTTCAAGCAATTCCCGTGCCTCAGCCTCCCGAGTAGCTGGGACTACAGGCGTGCACCACCACACTCGGCTTTTAGTGTTTTTTTTTTTGTATTTTAGTAGAGATGGGGTTTCACCATGTTGGCCAGGATGGTCTCAATCTCCTGACCTTGTGATCCACCCACCTTGGCCTCCCAAAGTGCTGGGACTACGGGTGTGAGCCACCAAGCCCAGCCCATAACTCCATTTTATCTTCAACTGGGATCACAATGTTTATCCTGCTTATCTTTCTTATTATATCACAAGCATTTTCTCCTTATTAAATATTTAAAACAGACTACAATTTTAAGATGTAGATATACCATATTATAATCATTTTTTTGATTCTTAAGTATTTAGTTCATTCTGAATCTTTCTTCAAAGTTGAGATTCATGTTTGTATATGTTTCCCTGATTAATTCCTCAGAATAAATTCTAAGAAATGCTAGAAGAAAGATCAACATTTTAAAGATAATTGCTACATATTACAAAACTGCTTCCAAAAAAGTGGTACTAGTAACTTACTTTCCTTACCAGTACTATACAAGAACCGTATTTCATACCCCTGGGTAAACAATGGGCAAAAGTACTTTTTTTTTTTTTTAAAGCAGTCCATTTGATAGGTAAAGTATGATACTGCATTTTAAAATTTTCTTTCTTTTTTAAGACAGGGTCTCCCTCTGTCACCCAGGCTGGAGTACAGTGGCGCAATCACAGTTCACTGCAGCCTCGAGCTCCTGGGCTCAAGCAATCCTCCTACCTCAGCAACCCCAGTAGTTAATTTTCATTTTTGCAGAAGAGATTAATCAGTGAAGTGCATCAGCTTTGGAATTAGATGGCTAGGGATTCAAACTCCAACTCTGCCAAATAGCTACATAAAAGGGCTAGCTAGATCATTTTTCTCATTTCTCACACGGGGTTGTTATAAATATCGAAGAAGACAACATAGGTCAAGTACTTACTTACCCACTATAGTGCCTACCATATAATAAGCTGCCAATCACTATCATTTCCTTTTAAATGTGCTGACTTGGAGGAGGTTAACAGAAGGATACAATTGTCCTATTGGGCCAACATGCTAATCATAAAATCAGCCACTGTATAACAGCTGACTGAATTTCTTAAAGGAAGGAGGCTAGTGAAGGAATATTTTAGTAATGGTTAAAGGGAAAGGAGAAAATTTTGTGTTTGGATTGCATGTGCCTAAAGAAGATAGAGAATATATATTTAAGTTATTTGGCTGTTTTTTGATACCTGCCCTCAAATAGAGTTCTTAATTCCCATTAAGAGGGTCAAGTCTAAATTCACCATATTAAGTAGTTATTATACTGGCTAAATGGTATCAATAATAAGGACTCCTGGGGATCTCTGAAACCAACAGGAAACCCAGGTAGCAAGTAAGACAGGCTTAATAGGCCTGGCGCAGTGGCTCACGCCTGTAATCTCAGCACTTTGAGAGCCCGAGGCGAGACCAGCCTGGCCAACACGGTGAAACTCCATCTCTACTAAAAATACAAAAATTAGCCAGGCATGGTGGCACACACCTGTAATCCCAGCTACTCGGGAGGCTGAGGCAGAAGAATTGCTTGAACCTGTGAGGCAGAGGTTGCAGTGAGCCAAGACTGCGCTACTGCACTCCAGCCTGGGCGACAGAGCAAGACTCCGTCTCAAAAAATAAAAAAATGAATTAAAAAAAAAAAAGGCTTAATAGCAGAGGGAAAGGGATCAAAAGGGATTAACCAAGTTGCGAGTAGAAGTGGAGGAGGAGGGAAGGTGAGCCTTAAATCAAGATAAAACAGATGACTGGATTTTGGGCATTTTCCCTGCAAGTACTCAGAGTTGGACGTCTGCCCAGAAGATAGCCAATGCCTGGTCTTACGTTCTTCAGGGATGAGAAGCATAGGCAAACTTCTCTCTGAAGCATAATTATTCACAGTGAAGTCGCGATCCATTATGGATTGTGTAATCAATTTAGTGAGTATAACACGTTTTTTACAAAATTAAATCATATAGGAAAAATAAATAATGCAGTGTATCACATTATTCTGCCTCATAGTAACTTAATATTTCACAGAAGTTAAATTCAAATTATTTCATTTTGGGACTATATACTTAAATTCTAAACTAAAACTGCTATAAATTTTAGTTAAGTCTCCCTTGAGATAACAACACCATATTATTTATTTACTTTCTCCAAGAGTTACTCCCAGTCAACAATTATTTCAAGTTATATATCACATACTCAGTGCTAGCCAGAGAAAGATCATTTAAAAACATTTATGACAATAAACTAGTCAATTACACATGTAACAGTTCTACCAATTTGCTAACCTCAAGTTTTATGCTGTATACTTAACAAAAGGAATAGCCTCTATTTTAAAAGGAAATACTTTAATGTATTCAATTAGCTTAAATTTTTAAAGTATCTTACAAAGACATTAGAAACATTACTAAAATTTCTAACAAAACAAATGAGCAGTCAGTTGCCAGTAAGTCTCTTTTGAAAAAATATAACTCTATATAAATGTCTACTCTATTGGAAAAAACTACTAGGGAAAAAGCTGCATGTAAAATAAAGAGGTCATGTAAGTTACCTAAAACCAACCCACCAAGTGTGTATATCAAGGTATGTTCAGGCAAAGGTTTTAAAATGACAAAGCCTATAGTTTTCCCTTTAATTCTGTGAATATAAAAGTGCTAGTCTGCAGCCTAAAATGTCAAAATAGTTATTAAAGGCCAGGTGTGGTGGTTCATGCCTGTCATCACAGCACTTTTGAGAGTCTGAGGCAGAGTTCGAGACCAGCCTGGGCAACAAAGTGAGACCTTGTCTTTACAAAATATCAAAAAATTAACTGCGCGTGGTGAAGCATGCCTGTGGTCCCAGCTACTCCAGAGGTTGAGGCAGGAGGATCACTTAAGCCCAGGGGGTCAAGGCTACAGTGAGCTATGATAGCACCACTGCACTCCAGCATAGGTGACAGAGCAAGACCCTGTCTCGAATTAAAAAAAAAAAAAAAAAATTATAACATAATCCAAGCCTTTTTCTCTCATATTTGCACAATAGCAATATTTCAATGTATTCTTCTGAAGCATCTGTAAAAGATTCTGAAGCATCTGTAAAAAGCTGAAAATACGTATCATTTTAAGTGTGATGTTGGTCCACTCCAAAAGATGCCTGAGGGTTCCCTGGCTTTGCCCTCCCTTCTTAGAAACAAGAGTGTGGTCAGAAACACGGTCTGGTGTGTCCTTGTATCTCTACTTCCTCAGATCTCAGAAAGGGGTTTCAGGCAGAGAGGATGGCTGGGCAGGACTCCAGGCCATACTCAATATAGCAACCAAATTCAGAAAATATAAGTAATATTTTAGCTTATCAACGCTCTCATTTTCTCCTTAAAATATAAGGCATATGAGTGTATTGAAGTCTTATTCTGCATACTCTCCCAAAATACTACTGAAGATCTTCTATTTGTGAAGAGAGCAAAACAAGCGAAATCAGATTCCAGAAACAGAAAAATTTTACTTTACCACACTTCTCAAATTGAAAGATACCAAACTATGTAGTTGAGTTTGGGGACTCTGCACTGGCAATTAAGACTGACAGTACATTCTCCCCCTTAATCTTTTGACTTAATGAGACAAAAACAACAACCTAAATACCTTGAGCAAAATCTGTCCCTACAGTTCTTGATGGATATAATATAACTCGTCAGAGTATCATTAAAGTATCAACATGTACATGTAAATTTGAAATCTCGATTTTTCTGAAATGTCAATTTTTATTTAAGCATCTAGTACTTACTCAAGGAGGAACCGTGTAAAACTGCACAGTTGGGACAGTGATACAGGTCAATGTCAACAGCATGATGTTCTTCTACTCCAACACAGCTAAGACAAAGAAAAACAAAATCAATATGTAAGTAAGTTGAAAATATTCACTTAACTATAATACAGTGGATGGAATTTAGCTGAGAAATGTACAACCGCCTCACCAACACATTTTTGTAGAGCAGAGAAACACATATAAAGATAAATTTTATTCTGTTCTCTACAAACTTGCTAAGTGAGCATGAGGGAGAATATATTATACTCAAAGTAATTCTCTCCTAGCAGCAGTAGAGACATCAGAAACAACAAAATAAGTCATAAAATCCTCAACCATTATGTAAATGTCACCTGTTATAAAATGTCAATAAAATGAGTCAAAAGATATATTAAAATGTGAACCACGATAATACAATATGACACAACTTGTGGGATGAAGAACTTGTAAACAGAAACATATAGCTCTAAATGCATCTGTTAGAAAAAAAGAGGCTGAAATTAATAAGCTACGTATCTACCTCAAGAAGTTACAAAAAGAATAGACAAAAAACCTTAAAAAATGCAAGTTCTATCAAATATTCAAGGAACAAATAAATCTAATATTATATCAAATTTACTCCAGAGAGCAGCAAAAAAGGATTTGCTTCCTAACTCATTTCCTGACAGCATAAGTTCTTGGTACCAAAACTTGGAAAGAATTATAGGTCACCCTCATTTATGAGTAAAGATGCAAATACCAAGTTGGGTCTATCACAGGAATACAAGATGGTTTTTAACACTAAAAATCTTAATCAGTGAAACTTACCACATTATTAGATTAAAGGAAAAAAAAATCATATGACCACTTAAAAAGATTCAGGACAAGTATTTGATAAAATTCAACATTTACGTAGGATTAAAAAGTAAACAATAAAACCTCTTAGCTAGCTTAGAGGATACTTCCATAATCTGGAAAAGGATACTTCTAAAATATCCTATGCAAATAACATGAAGCAGTCGTTCTGAGATTAAGAACACAGCGGCTGGGTGTGTTGGCTCATGCCTGTAATCCGAGCACTTTGGGAGGCCAAGGCGGGTGCATCATGAGATCAGGAGTTCAAGATCAGCCTGGCCAACATGGTGAAACCCCATCTCTACTAAAACTACAAAAATCAGCCGGGCACGATGGCAGGCACCTGTAATCCCAGCTACTTGGGAGGCTGAGGCAGGAGAATTGCTTGAACCTGGGCGGCAGAGGTTGCAGTAGGCGACAGAGTGAGACTTCATCTCAAAAAAAAAAAAAAAACCAAGAACACCTCCTATTACTACTTCCGGTGAACACTGTGCTAGAGGATTGAACTGGTACAGTAAAATAAGGAAAAGAATTAAAAGGTATAGGGATTAGAAAAAAAGCTGTCATCTGCAAATGCTATGGTTACGCAAGCAGAAAATGCAAAAGAATCTATAGACAAATCATAAGAATCGAGAAAAAGATTGCTAAAGATTAGTATATAGAAAAACCTAGTTCCATATACCAACGATATAAAGCTAAAAAGTGAAATAACATACCATGTACAACTGCATAAAAATGTCAAGTACATTGGGAGGCCAAGATGGGCAGATCATGAGGTCAGGAGATCGAGACCATCCTGACTAACACGGTGAAACCCCATCCCTACTAAAAATACAAAAAATTAGCCCGGCGTGGTGGCGGGCGCCTGTAGTCCCAGCTACTCGGGAGGCTGAGGCAGAATGACGTGAACCTGGGAGGCGGAGCTTGCAGTGAGCGGAGATGGCGCCACTGCACTCCAGCCTGGGAGACAGAGCAAGACTCCATCTCAAAAAAAAAAAAGGTCAAGTACACTGGAATAAATTTAACAAAAACTATGCAAGGCTTCTTTAGGGTAAAGTATAAAATATTACTGAGAGACTTTAAAGAAAACCTAAATAAAGGGAGATATACATCACGACCATGGGTTTGAGGTGCAATCATGTAAAGATATTAATTCTCCTCAAAGTGATTTATAGATTCAATTTAATTCCAATCCAGATCAGTAGAACCTGACAAACTGGTTCTAAAATTAATATGGAAATGTACAGGGCCAAGAATATGCAAAGCATTCACAGAAAACAAAAACAAAAACAAAACAAACCCACCACCCTAAAACTCTACGAAGTATCAAGACTTATTCTAAAGCTCTAGGAATCAAGGCAATATGAAACAGATGCCAGTGCCCAAAACCAGATCCATGTATATGTGTGCACTCGTGTGTAACAGGAGGGCACGGAAGAGCATACAGCAAGAACAAACTTTTCAATATAAGGTCCTGGACACTTTTTATATAGCTTTTATATCAACATCTTATATACATGTATCTTTTTATTTTAAAAAAGATATATTGGCCTGGCGGGGTAGCTTATGTCTGTAATCCCAGCACTCTTGGAGGCCAAGGTGGGCAGATCACTTGAGGTCAGGCGTTTGAGACCAGCCTGGCCAACATGGCGAAACCCTACCTCTTCTAAAAACACAAAAATTAGCCAGACATGTTGCCGCATGTCTGTAATCCCAGCTACTTGGGAGGCTGAGGCAGGAGAATCGCTTGAACCCAGGAGGCGGAGGTTGCAGTGAACCGAGATCACACCACTGCACTCTAGCCTGGGCGATACAGTGACACTCTGTCAAAAAAAAAAAAAAAAAAAAAATATATATATATATATATATATCTTTGTTAAAAAGAAACATACACATATTTATATAAAAGATATTTGTACAAAATATGCTTGATATTTTATATATCCATAAATGATATATATTTATATATAAAAAGAAATATTTATATATCTCTTTAAAGGAAGTAAAATAAAATTAGACATCTATCTCATAACATAAAAATTTATTCCAAAGTAGATGATAAACCTAAACACACATAAAACACAAAGTACAAAGGTTGTATAACGTAATATAGAAAATATCTTTATGACTTTATGACAGGAAGGATTGTCTTAAAACACAAAAAGCACTGTCCATAAAGGTGAAAACTGGTAACTTCAGCCATATTAAAATAAACTCCAATTCATTAAACTATAAAGACTGAAATGATAAGCCAGAGTAGCAGAAGACATTACAATACAGGTGGCCACCAAAGGAATTATACCCAGAATATACTGAACTCCTACAAATCAATACAAAAAAAAAAAAAAATAGAAAAATGAACAAAATACTTGGATAGGCACATCATAAAAGGAACTCTAAGTGGCCGAATCACACATAAAAAGGTGTACAACCTTATAACTGGGGGAAATATAAACTAAAAGCACAATAAATACCACGACACACCCAAAAGACCCGCTAAAACTAAAAAGCCTGATGATACCATGTGTTGAAGATGATGTGGGGCAATAGGAACTTTAAACTGAGAGTTTGATACAGCCATGTTGGAAAACAATTTTGCACTAAAGCTGAAGAATCATACGCTCTATGATTATTCCATGACCAAGCAAATCCTTTTTTAGGTAAACACAACTGAAAGTAACTCAGGCACATGTGCACCAGGATACCTACCTATACAGAGCTGCTTATAGAATCATTATTTGTGAAGTCTATAAATAATAAAATGGATACAGTATATTCTCATAACAGAACTCTATATGGTAATAAAAATAAAAAAACACAATAAATGAATGAATTCTACAAGTTAATCAACATTGAGTTAAATTTTAAAAAGACATAAAAGAGTACATATTTCTATGTATGCAGAAAACTCAGAACTAGGGAAAGCTGAAGTATACTGTTTAGGGATAATAAAGCTATCTTAAAAAACAAGGAAGAGATGGATCTTGAAAGGACAGTGGTTTCCTCTCAGGACTGTCATCTAGAAAGGATGGCAAGTGGTGTCCTGAGGTTCCAGATGATTATTACATGGGTATATATTTTATAACTATTGATTAAACTCTAGATGTATGTTTTAGACACACTTCCTCTATTCTTATTCCACAATTAAAATACTAAATAAAAACACACAATACACAATTAATACACAATTAAAATACTAAATTTCACCATTAAAATTCTATCCACAACCATGTAAAAAATTAGGCAAAAATCTTGAAATGTATTAATCTAATAACCACAACAAAATATCAAGAGCAATATATCAGAGGCCTCTGGATATGCAAAAACAAGCCCACTCGCACCTGAGAGAACTCTAGGACACTTGCTACTGTCAAGTCTTTGAGAGTCTGCGTAGAGCTTGCCGCAATCCCAAAAGGTCAAAACCAAAAGATGTTAACAAATAACATGACATTGCTGCTTGAATACCGAATCCACATAACTAAATCAAGCTATTACATTTTGCTTTTGAGTAGAACACAAGTTTATTTGTCCAATTTGAATTTACATCACTTTTCCCATAGAAAGCAAAAGGTAAATATGTTAATTGTTTAGAAATTCATTTTTTAACTGAAAGACTATAAATTTCCAATTCAATACATAAATGTTATACAAAATTTTATATATATTTACATACAATTCCCTTGGTCCATAGTTTCTTATAAGAAACTCGGCCGGGTGCGGTGGCTCACGCCTGTAATCCCAGCACTTTGGGAGACTGAGGCGGGCGGATCACAAGGTCTGGAGATCGAGACCATCCTGGCTAACATGGTGAAACCTCGTCTCTACTAAAAATACAAAAAATTAGCCAGGCATGGTGGCAAGTGGGGAGGCTGAGGCAGGAGAATGGCGTGAACCCGGCAGGCGGAGCTTGCAGTGAGCCAAGATCGAGCCACTGCACTCCAGCCTGGGCAACACAGCAAGACTCCATCTCAAAAAATACATAAAAATTAAAAAAAAAAAAAGAGTAAGTTTTCAAGTGCTTGGATCAGAATATGGTTTTTTAGATCTGACACCAAAAGCACACAGGACAAACGAAAAAGAAGATAAACTAGTCTTCATACTACAGTCTAAGGGCTTCTATTTTTCTCAGCTAAGTTTAGTGTGAGACACTCAGCGGAGTATGGAAAAAGGTAGAGAGGGAAGTATAAAAGGGTTGATCTGTAGAACGAAAGACTAAGAAACACAATAACAT